GGGGTGGAGCGGGAGAGAGGACGAGGGAGATGAAAATATAGGGATTGATTGAACAGAGTCAGTGATGAGACAGAACTTACCGGCCGAAAAGGTTCAATGTGTCAATTGCTCCCGACAACTGCTCGCCGCCGACATTGTCATAGAAGATATCGATGCCACCTTCTCCATTGTCCGGGAATTCTGGCAGCTTCTCCCCCTTCTTCGCCTTATGTTCCCGGACCAAGCGCTGGATCACGTCCTTGGTGCTGGGCTCTTTCTTGTAGTTCCAACCCCCATCAAATCCGAGCTCGTTGATGATGAAGTCTAACTTGTCGTCGCTGCCCACAGATCCAAAGACAGTCAAACCATCGTGCTTGGCCAGCTGACCGACCAATTGACCCACGGCTCCAGCGGCAGAGGATACCACAATGATCTCTCCAGGTTTGGGCTTACCAATTTCGTACAGAGATGCATAGGCCGTGAGCCCCGGCATGCCCAGAGCCCCCAGATAATGCCTGAGGTCGAGACCGGGATCGCCCGGATTGGGCACCTTGAACGGTTGTTCGGATTGCGGCCCGACCACATACAGATTGTATTGCTGGATTGGGAGCAACAACCTCACCACGTCTCCCTCGGCAAAGCCCTCGAGACTGGAGCGAAGAACCCGTGACAAATTTCCCGCGGTTATGGCCGTACCAAAGGGAATGGCGGGCAGGTATGATTTAACCGAGGGATCACGCAATAAGCCGCGCAGGTACGGGTCGAAGCTCACATAGAGCGTCTCCAGAACGAGCGCATTTGGAGGCAGCTTCTGGTCCAAGTCAAAAGGGCCGACATCTTTAACCGCAATGTGTTCACCAGGAACCGGGAGACGGTCGGGGACTTTGTTGAAGACTAGAGCAAGATTTTTGGTGTTGGAGGGCATCTTCACAAGCGCACTTTGGATCGATGGACCAACGGTCGAACTGTTGAGCGCACGAAGGTCAAGAAGACCGGGAGGGTATCAAGAAGAAATATGTAGGAATAACAACAGTGAAAGCTCGTGGTTGAATATCATGGAAGGGCGAAGGTGGGAAGGGAACCGATATCACGGTATTTACATATAAGAACAACACTCCTCCCCAATAGCATATATACTTCATGTAGTTCGTATTCCCTAGCTTCGAACCATTCATTTGTCATATGCCCATGTCGATTCTTCTTTCTTCTACCTGTTACTTCGTGGATCGTTGATGACGCAAAAAAGAGACATCCAGACCATCAACCAGTAGGCGGGGCATTTTCGTCCGAACGGCGCTTGGCAAGTTCCATGGATGGAAGGGGACGGACGGCGGAAATGGAGTAGGTGACAACACAATCGAAATGGCAGCGTTTGTCCAGGAGATACATTGTACCTAGGTATCTGGGGAACCGGTCAAGAATACTGGATCGCAAGTCCATTACTGCCAGGCGAACGTAATTTTGGGAGAAATAGAGGCGCTCGTATGCTAGACTGGTGGAAAACGCGCGGATCAGCCTGCATTGCGATGGACTTGTATTTGATTCGTCGGGTTTATGTGTGAAGCCTGGCTGGATGCACCGAGATGCTGGAGGGGAGCATGGTCTCGTTACAGATTTGTCGCAGTATGCGCATCTATATTATACACGCATCTCTTAGAGCTGTGACCAGCAGCTGGTCGTAACGCGACCGAGTGGCCGGTCATACCTGGTGGCGGCGCGGCACATTTCGCTCTGGGTGATACAAGCTCGCGGTGTAGCATGGGCTCAAGTTGGTCTCGTCCGTATCCCGTCGTGTCCGAGCACAAATCTCTCTGAGAACCATCGAGGCACGCTCCCTTCACTGTCGCGTGGTTTTGCCCCGGTCGTAGGGAGGCAGGAAATATTGTCACTTCGGCCGTGACTCGACCCAGAATCCTGAGTATCTAGCCCTGACGGCATCGCGTACTGGACTGCCCGGTCCCAGTCTGTGAGACGCTCATAAGGACTTCGCAGCCAAGCCTCCAATTCATGCAAGAACAGTCGAGCATTGTTACGGCCCAGAAAGTCTTTCAGTAATTCCTCTGCTTGCCCAGCACTGCCTTTGAGATCAATCGACTTCAATATTCCAATGATGTATTCCAGCAAGAAGTCCGCATTACCGGCGCGGCGGTCGGTGGATCCGGGACGTGAAGATTGGGCGGCGTCAGGATTGAGGAAACCGAATACTTGGAGTTCACGCCTGATCCACATGCGGGCTCGGGAATTCAGACGCTCATCTGTTGCGAAAGACGCGGGCGTCAAATTCCGGTATCGCGAGATGCGATTTGTGCCAACGTGGAGAGAGTAGAGTCTCTGACGGTACACCTGTTTGCGAAAGTCTAGCGCGCTGTCCTTCGACGCTTCGGGACGTGCTGCTCTTGCAGTATGGTAGTACCCTCCTCTTGCATATGCCCGAGCTTGTCTGAATCGTCGTTGTCGAGCGGCGGAAGCGGCGTGAAAACGATTCGTGCTTCGACCGTCCGGGGGACATTCGGGTGGGAGATGGAAGACTTGACCCCTCTGTTCATCGCCGTCGCGGATGTTGAATCTAATCGCTGTGACTTGACATTTGCACAGTGGACAAACCTGCTGCCGCTGCAGCCATGTTCCCAAGCATGTAAAATCAAACTGGTTGTGGTGGCAGGGTAGAGCAATGGCTTGGTCAGAGATGTGGTCTAAGCAGATGACACATTGCTCTGGTGGAGGAACTGTGCTCTCTGGAAGAGTGAGTAGTGCTGCATTTGAGCCCACAGGCTCCTTGGGATCCAGTGTTATCTCATGTTCTGCGGATTCTGTTGCCATTAAGTGGTGCAAGAGGAAAAGAAAGAGAGAAATGATACCACCGCCACTGTGGTTGTAAGTGGCGTAGAAATCGCTGCAGGCACTTGCCGTTGAAGGATCATCTGCTCCACCGAAATTTCAAATGACGCATATCGAAAAAGGGGCCAAGCCTTGTGCCTACACGACCCGACGAGTTATCCGTGGATCACTCCTTCATGTTGGTATTCTTAAAGGTGAATCTTTTACATCCTAGATTCTCTTGCTGTTTCATGACACAAGACTAACCTCTCAGAGATCCCTTTGTCTTGAATCCCATTCCCCCCTACCTTAGTATCAAATCAATAACATTTGCTCTGAAATTAGGCTAAAGGGCACCTTGGCAACAATATCTGTCAACAAAAAGAGCCTTATCACACAAATATACCTTCCCCATAGTCTGGGCAGTTCACTTCCCGCTGCTGGTGCTTCGGGGCTGCCGTCGGGTAGGCATATCAGTCTGTAATATAACAAGAAGAGCCTCTGAGCCCATACTAGTGCCATGCCTTCCATCCTCTCAGTCACGATCCAATCCGCCATTCTCAAGGCCGCCGCAAACTTCACAGCCCAAACGCTCACTCTGTGGAACGTGCAGTCCCTTGACTCAGTGAACTGGACCCGCGTTGTTGAGTTTGCGATATTTGGTATTGTGTCCGCGCCGCTGGCATCAGTGTGGCAGCAATTTCTCGAGGATAGTTTTCCCAGCGTAACGAATGTCAGCTTGGCACACCCAGATTCTGACCTGTTCAATGACTCCTCCGAGGAACCCGTCGCCGCCGAAGAAAAGGCGAAATCAACAGCAGAACTCAATTGGCGAAATACTTTGACAAAGCTGATTCTGGATCAAACAGTCGGCCAGTTCGTCATCAACCTCACGTTCTTGATCTGCACAAACATTTCACAGCTTCAGAGCTGGCACTCGCTCCTCGAGGAGGTTCAGACGCGCATCTTCAGTATCATCTGGGCGAGTTGGAAGGTGTGGCCATGGGTGGCTCTGATCAACTTCATATGGGTTCCAGTCCAATGGAGAGTGACTGTAACTTCGTTGGTCGGCTTCTGCTGGAACGTCTTTCTGAGCACCTGGTCAATGCATGACAAGCCATAGACAAAGTTGTCGCGCCAGATAACGAAAAGAATGCCATTGTCTAAATGCTAAAAGGTTTGTAGTCCTCAAATCCACCGCAGAGCTATTCCAGCCCTCGTCTATTTCTTTTCATGAGAAGGTTTCCCAACACATTTCATTTTCCAGGCTCTTGCGGAGGCACCCAATGAGTGGCAAGATATTCATTTGGAAGAACCCGACGTGAGTGGGATCGAAGCGCCTCGACTGTGTTGGCGCGGATGTCGAACCCTCCGTGCCTGGGCCCGAGCATCCAGTCCGTGGTCGCTCAATATATTGCGCGTCACAAACGCAACGGCCAGCAGACACAAAGCTGCGATGAGTTGTGCCAAGAATGTGAAGACGAATCTGACAGCAAATGTGCCCGTAAAGGGACTCAGCGACTGCGCATGATCAAAAGCGTACACCACACTGTAGATTGCTCTCACTCCAATGAATATGCATGCCAGAATCATCAGAGATGCAGCAGCTCGGTGTTTTCGAAGCTTGAGGTAAAGTTGACCGCAGAGGAACGAGACTGTAATCCATGTGATCAGAAGGATGACGGCACCAGCTTCAAGGAATGTATAGGCCGAGTCAACGTCTGCTTGGCTGTTGAGGTCGCCCCCGAGCTTCGCCCCACCAGTCGCGAGGAGTGCAATGCCAGTGATTGCGCCAACATGGATAGCCACCTCTTGAACCAAAGTTGTAAGCTGACTGCTGTTCGACGTTGCGTAGTAGCCCTTTAGTAAAGCCAGAAAGCCAGCAGTAGCAATCAGCAAAGGACTAAGGCCAATGGAGGAAACAATTGCCCCAGACGTAGAAGGGTGTGGATCGTTATGACTGCCGATTTGAATGCCTGAGGCGACAATGCGAAGTATCTCGAAGGCAGCGAGGAAGAAAAATGCTGCAAGTGCGCGTCGACCATGTCTGTAGAACAGTAATCCGGTGGGGAGGAGGAGAGGGATGTAAATTGACATCTCTGCGATTGAGAGTTTCGTTACTGCATCGAGCGCCATGGTTGGACTCTTGTAGATTGTTCAGCACAATACGTTTTGTGATTGTGGGAAGGACGGCTGTTTTCACGGGCCACCTTCGTGTCGATTGCAACCTGAGTGCACTTGGAGATACTCTGGACCGAGAGATCTCAAGACTCTTATAGCTGTAAACACTTGCCTCGGATTTCCATCATAGCAGACCATGGCCTACGAATCGATAGCCAAAGAGGGCACTGGGGGTGCAGCCGCTAACCGAAAGAGGTATTCCATTCGAAGCGAATGCGATATTTGGCGCATTTCACGAGCGTCGATCTGAATGCGGATCGCGTTGTGGAGGCGAACCCCTGGATCAATCCCAGGCAGCACTATTTACATGCATGCGATGGAGACGAGAGCAGATACGACGTTGTAGGCTGCAGTATCATATTGAACTCGTTGGGTACGAGGGTTGCGCAGTCGCCCATCACAACGCCCTGCCATCGAATTGATGACCAGAAAGAGAATAGTGGTTGGAGAGGAATGGACAAGCTCAGCTAAGCTTTGCGGAGCATTCATCTTCTACGATTGGCCAATGACCAACTTGATAATTATGTCAGCCTAGAGGGTATCGGCGCCATGTTCAGCCTCGCGTTTCCCTGGAAGGCAGTGCTTGTTCTGTGGCCATAGAGGCATCTTCATCCCTGATGTCACAAAATGGCGGAGGACACCAAGATGAGGGAGGTGATTTCTCCAGCTTTGCGTCCGAGTTTGACCTGTGGTCGCAATATGAGACAGGTGGACAGCACAATGGGCATAAAGCAGATTTGCAGTAGGCTGACAAACAGAACAGAAAGGATAGGCATTCGAAGACTCGCGGTAAGAAAGGCGGCAATCTATCCGATTGAACGTGGACTTTTTCGGTCGTCTGCTGGACATCAAATCTCGATGTGTTCGCTATCCAAACAAGCCATGCGTTGCTAGCCCATGCCGATATCGATGCCTATCTGCATGCCGAACGCCGTGCCTCATTGAAGAATAGTTTCGGTTGCTGAAGGAAATCACTTAAAACGCTCACATATCCAGGGTATCATACATAGCACACTCTGATCACTGTAATTCTCAAATAGAACCCCATCGCCACGTTACATAACAGCCTGTCATTTTCAGAGAGTCAGCCACGAACGTAATCAAGGCAAAACGGGTTAGGGGCCATTGTCTTCCTGGGAGCGGGAGAATCCCACTCATTTTGGGTGCAGAAAAACAGGTTCTAAAATCACTTACACATTCGCTCTTGTCCTTCCCCGGGGGAACGCCCATCTCATCGAATGTCTTGGGCCCCTTCCCGGGAGGTCGTGCCGCATTTGCTGGAACAGTACTCGGTTTAGAAGGTGGTCCCCCACCAATGGGTGCACTCGCATCGGGTTTGGAAGGTGGGAGATTTGCAGGCTTGACATTCGGTGGTACTTGTACTTGATTGTTGGGAGGCCGGACATTGGAGTTGGGCATGCCGCTGTATCCACCAGCAATGTGACCTGGACGACCTTGCGAGGGAGGGCCTTGTTGAAGTCTTGGGGACCCACGTGGAGGGTTGTTAGGGTTCGGCAGGGGAGGCCCATTTGGCTGTTGTTGCTGAGGTCGAGGTCTTCTCTCTGGCTCGAGAGGAGCAGAAAAGCCAATGTCAATCTTTGCGGGTGGTGACTGACCTCCTGGCTGCGGCCCTGGCCCAAGGTACGGTGAGGAGCTGTTGGGTCTTGATGGTGGCCTGATAGTAGGAATTCCTTGGCCCTGAGGCGGCGGTCCTCCTGATGGCATGCGTCCTCCACGGCCATACCCAGGACCAGGGTAACCGGGCCCTCCAGGATTAGAATAGGGCCGCTGCTGAGGCATGTTAGATGGGGGAGAGCCATATGGATCAGGTCTTGGGGCTCCCATGGCCGCGGCCGAGGTTGGTCGAAGGTTGGGGTTTATGCCAAAGGCCGATGGGGGTCGAATATCCGGACCTTGATTCACAGACGGCATATTCGGGGGTCCAGTGGGGTAAGGGACCGCGCTGCCAGGCCTGGCTGAAGGCGCTCTCTGGCTGTTGAGCGACAATCGAGAAGGATCCGGCATTTCGAGCTGTTCAGCCTCAGCCTCTTCTGACAAAGTTGGCATCGCGGGAACTGAAGGCACATCGGTTCCTCCGATCATCGAGCCACGTTGCTGCCGGATCTTCTTAAGTGCGACACTTTCATGGTCTTTTCGAGAGAGGGTCTTTGACCTAGAGATAGCATCGATCCTTCCTGTAGCATCTTGATTACCGCTTTGTGATGCCTTGCGATACCACTCCTTGGCCTGCTCGAAGTTGACCGGGACGTATATGCCGACCTCATAGTAATAGCCTAACGCAAATTGGGCTGTCGGAAACCCAGACAGAGCTGCTCTCTGCGCATACGTAAAGGCGACTTCCTCATTCTTCTCGAAAAGACCCTCGTGGCCACAAAGAAACCACTTGCTGATGGCCAATTCTGCTTCCGGTTCACCCTGTCTTGCGGCGAGGACATTGTAATGCAAGGACAAAGCAGGATCGAAGGAGCAGCCCAACTCACAAAGCTCATATGCTGCCCCCATCTTCACTTGGGCTTTGGCAAATCCCAGGTACGCAGCCTTTTCGATGTTCATCTTGGCTCCAGCAATATCCCTGGGCAAAAATTGATCCGGAATCTGGATTTGTGGCATCTGTTGCGCTTGGAGCATGCCAAAGACATAGGCGCCTTGCGGTGCGTTTTCATCTGCTGTCTGGGCCGACATATATATGAGGTTGAGACCACGTTCGAAGTTCTGTGGCTGTCCATGCTGGCCAAGGAGTGTCATCATTCCTAGCCTGTAGCAGGCGGCTGAATCTCCAGCATCCGCGCCTTTCTGATAGTACCGAATTGCCTTCAATGCATCGTTTGAAGATTCGAACTGCATTCCAATGCGGTAGTCCGCACGAACATACCCTTTCTCCGCAGCTCTTGTGTAGCAATAGAATGCTTCTTTCTTGTCAACCCTGTGTCCAAATTTGCCAAATTCAAGCCACATGCCCCTCATGAACTCGGCCTTGGGATGGTGTTGATCGGCAAGAAAGCTGACGATCTTGATAGCGTCTTCCCTAAGGACATGCTCAATGCGAGGCGTCCTTGTTCGGGGTGCTTGTGCCAGAGCAACTCTTTCCTCATTTTGGAGGCATATCTCAACATATGATAACGCGTCTTGTGCCCACGTCAGCTGGGTATCAGGGTCATTGCAGTTGAGCACAGCGGCCCTTGCGGCTTCTAGTGTGGCCTCTTTCTGTTCATCGGTTGGCGGTATGTTGGGAGGAGGGTTGCGGAGCATAGGAAACGGAGAAAAGTTTGGCTGTTCCGTCGGGGCCATCGAGGTCGTTCTGGCGGGGAAAAGGTTATCTTGCCTGTATGCTTCGGTTTGGTTGTCCTGGAGCGCCCTCTGATCATACCCTTGGACGTTCGTGTGAGGGGCTTGTGGCGGCGCCCATGATTGCGTGCCACCCTGCATATATTCGGCGGACTGGGGAGAGTAGACTGATCCTGAGTAGGCAGAATTCGCAGAGGTAGGATTTGAGGCAGCTTGCTCCATCTGAGCCACATTATGTTGGATGTTGTTTGGCAGCTCATGTACTCTGTAGCGCTTAGCAGTGATCGGCGGCGACGTCAGTCCAGCAGTCGTACATACCTGTTTGGTGTTGGCTGTATAATTTCTGGCATGTAGTAAGAATCATCTCCCCCAGGGACGAAAGTGGCGCCCGTGTGATAACTCATGGTGATGATCCAAGGGCAATCTGAGGTGTTCAGCGTTTCGTATTTTCAGCTGAATCCGAGCCCGAGGTGTCTTCCTCCTGAGCACCTGGCAGCTTTTAGATTGATTTTTCTTCGAAAGGTATGAGGCCAGAATCCGTCCCGCTCCCGCAAAGGAAGCGGAGGGGATGATGATATGCTCAGCCGGGTGTTCAGGAGATTGCCCTGGTGCTTACACAGTCAGGGTGTACGAGTATGTTGGATTCTTAGGTCACAGGGTGGGGTCCAGAAGGAAGTAGATCAATGGAGCACAATTTCGCAACGCTGGTTCCTTTGTAGACATGTCTTGGAGGGCGCTGGAAGGGCAAAGGAGGAATATGAACTTGGCCTGGAAGGCCGCATCAATCACAGCCGAGCCTTGTCTGCGCACTTGTGGAAGTTTAGTTGATACAGACGATGGACCGAATAGTGGGAGGGTGCAGGCAGGGCGAGGCTGGGGTAATTGGCGTTGCGCGCTGCGAGATGAGGGGCCAGCTGGCCAATCCTACCCGCCTAGGCATCCGTAGGCGCTACCTTAGGTACTTACTTGGGTGCTCTTAGGGACTCGTAGGCACACAGCAGAGGCTCAACAGGTTCGGCTAAGAGGAGACCCTGGGTGGGAATACGCCCCCAGGCGAATAAAGTTGAGGTCAACCAGCGTCTAGGGCCCAGCTGGCGCCGCTAGGCTTTAAGGATCAGTCGCAGCCCTGCACTGCCACAACAAAGTCATATCCCCTTCGTACAATTTTGGCAACGAGATTTTGTCCCCTGACAATTCACAAAATCGGGGCCTTCATTCCTTTGCATACGACGAGCCGTTCCTTCAAGCGGGTGTCCAATTATTTGGCAATATCCGTCCTCACTACGATTGCCTGTGCAAAAGTACGAGTATGTTTCTGCTATGGACTTTGGCAGATTGCCAGACACTCTTCGAAGGCCTTCAACGTCCCAACCACTCCGAACGACAATACCACTCCCTCGCGTCCGATGCGCAAGTGTTTCTCTGCTAAGAATGCCTCCAAACCTCGTTAACCTGAACTAGATTATACCCTGCAACTGATTTTGCAACAGTAACGCGCGCAAGGCTTCGACCGAAGTAGCCAACCATCATGGAGCCTACCCAAGCCAATTTCTGTCACCCTTACCAGCCTTATTCCATCCAGCTAGATTTTATGAGAGAACTCTACCGCTGCATAGAGGGGAGGAAGGTGGGAATCTTTGAATCTCCTACAGGCACTGGCAAGTCATTGAGCTTGATCTGTGGTGCTTTGACCTGGCTCCGAGACCATGAACAACGGGCACTTCAAGGTCTGACGGATGGAGGTGAGCCGCTTGACTGGCTTTTAGAGGCTGAAAAAACCACCCAACGTCGTGAGCTACTTCTTGAACGCGAGGAGCTTGAGTTGAGGCTTTCCAGAATCCGTAGAGAAGAAGCATCCCGCCGACGGCGTCAACACGACGCGAAAGCTTCCAAGAAACCTCGAACTAAGATTCCAAACGACGAGGGTAATGCTCCAGATGAGGATGAGTTTACGTTGGAGGACTACGACAGCGAGAGGGAAGAGACGAGCATTGCAAACTACTCAACCGCCGGCCTCTCGAGCTCAACTCAAGCCCTGCTCGACAAGCTACAAGGCCCAATGAGAACTAATGTTGAAGAACAAGAAGAAAAAGATCGACTTAAGATTATCTTTTGTTCGCGCACTCACTCTCAGCTCACACAATTCGTGAATGAGCTGCGCCGTGTCAAACCTCCTCCATCCCTTTCTTTAGAAGCTGCAGATTTCGCACACAAGCCTTCGCTTGAGGAACGAGTTAAACATCTTGCTCTAGGCTCACGAAAAAATTTGTGCATCAACAGCAAAGTTGCAGGACTGTCGTCTGCTTTCGCAATCAATGAGCAATGTCTCGAACTGCAGAAGCCTGCCACTCCCAAAGACAAAAAATGTCCCTATATCCCTGCAAGAGACGATAAATCAAAAGTCGAAGATTTTCGAGACCGAGTTGTTGCAGAGGTTCGCGACATCGAAGATACGAGTCGTCTAGGCAGGGAAATGCAACTCTGTCCCTATTATGCTTCTCGAGCAGCCATAACCATGAGCGAGGTGCTCACGTTGCCCTATCCTCTCCTCCTACAAAGGTCCGCCCGTGAAGCTTTGGGGGTCTCCGTGAAAGACAATGTTGTGATCATTGATGAGGCTCACAATCTTATGGATGCCATCGCAGACACCTTCTCCATCTCACTGCGTTTGAGCCAGCTCGAAGAAGGTGCTCGGCAAGTTACTGCTTACGCGGGTCGCTTCAAAAATCGCTTGAAAGGGAAAAATCGTGTGTATGTTATGCAAGTGATACGGTTGCTGAATTCGATGACCGACAGTCTGCGTGGCACGTTGCAAAAGACGACTTCAACTGAAGTAACTATAACGGCTGCACAACTTATGGCCGGGAAAGGCGTCGATCAGATCAAACCCCACAAACTCTTGCAATACCTACACGAAAGTAAGCTCTGCCACAAGGTTGAGGGATACTCCGAGATGCGACGAGACCACTCTGATTCGAATCAAGGCAAGGGTGCCTTGCTGCAGTTTCAAAACTTTCTGATAGTATTGATGAATCCGGACGACGAAGGACGATTCTTCATAAGCCGACATGATGACGAAGTTGTCGTCCGATACACGCTGCTCGACCCCAGAGAGCATTTTCGACAAATAGTTCAAGATGCTAGAGCGATCATTCTGGCAGGCGGCACCATGTCCCCCATGTCCGACTATTCGGATTATCTCTTCTCATATCTCGACAAAGATCGGCTGCGGACATTCAGCTTCGGCCATATAGTTCCCCCTTCTCACCTATTCGCTCAGGCCGTTGGGAGGGGACCTTCTGGCATTGAGTTCGATTTCAGGTACGAAATGCGTGGCTCCGAAAGAATGATAATTGAATTGGGAGACCTTGTTGTACGAGTATGCAGCATCGTGCCGGATGGGGTTGTGGTATTCTTCCCAAGCTACGATTATCTCGCACGAGTGGTTTCAATTTGGCAGCGCCTACCAGCTCCCCGGTCAGTAATGCAAGCGCTTGGTAACGTCAAGGCAACTTTTCAGGAATCCAAGTCAATCGCTGTCGATCAACTACTGCAGGAATACGCCGCCGCCGTGGATAGCGGGAGAGGGGGCCTGATGTTGTCAGTTGTGGGTGGAAAGCTTTCAGAGGGCATCAACTTCTCAGACAAACTCGGTCGGGCCGTAATTGCAGTTGGTCTTCCATTCCCAAATGCTAACGGAGCGGAATGGAGGGCCAAGATGGAACATATTGAGGGGATTCGATATGAGCACTGCAAAAGCCAGGGGAAGACGGAAGCAGAAAGCAGGGCCGAGGCGAAAAGTGCGAGCAGAGGGTACTACGAAAACACCTGCATGAGAGCTGTGAATCAAAGCATCGGACGAGTAATCCGGCACAGAAACGACTATGCTGCGATCTTGATGCTCGACAGACGGTTTTCAACAGAGAGGATATCTCGTAAGTTGCCTGCCTGGATACATGGAAGCATGAACAACAGCTTGCGGGACTGGTCAGACATAGAAAAGGACGCAGAGGTCTTTTTCCGTGACAAGCGATGAACAAACCACTATCCCATGGGAAATCCATCTGCTGTTCAGCACGCGTCGTGTTGAACATACCAACTTTACACGAAAGTGCGTATTTAAGACGAGGAGGACTATGTATCACCAAACCATCCGACATCATCCCCTTTTCGCCTAACACAATTCAAAATGTGCCGCTCGCAGATTCTTCAAGTACCAAATAGCAATGTTCTGTGTGACTAATATGATTATGGAGGTTCACTAAACTGACAGAGACTACTTTGTCATATGAGGTGATCGAGTGTCATCTTGAGAGTCCATCGATGCCGAAGCAGCCCACGGGCAAGAATATACAGAGATGGTATTCCGCCGACGCCAAAACCCGCAGGTCTCGCAACATTTTGACCTACTTACTGCCTCCGAACCAGCTGCTTATCCCACTCTTTGCCTTTGCGGCCTTTTCTTCCACCGTTTTATCGAACTTGTCGATGGCACTGTTGATCTGACTTCCTGTCTTCTGGCTAACCTCTCTTGCTTTTGCTTCGGCTTCGGTGAGTTTGGCTTTGGCGTCAGCAGACTAAATGCTGTCAGTATCTCAATCTGCAGGATACGAGGATGCGGCTCACAGCTTGGTCAAACTTCTGGCCTGCTTGAGAAGCGATGGCTTCCCCTTTCTTCTCGGCTTCTTTTTCTCTTCCCGGGATTTCACTCTTTATCTGTGAGGAGAACTTGGAGGCATCGGCTATTCATAAGTTTAGTAAGTCTCAATGTCAAACAGGCGCACAGACCTACCCTCGAGGTTCTTCTGAGCGACCTTGGGGTTGCCACCAGCGTTATAGAGATAGTACCCGACTCCGCCAGCTACCGCCAGGCCCGCAACAGTAAGTCCGCGGCTCGAAGACATGACGCCGAGACTCTGGGATGTGCTGAAGTGATTCAGGAACGGAGGATGTCTGGAAGTGAACCGCTCAATGGTGAGTGAGTCGAGGAATAACGATACTTAGAGAAGATGTGAGCTGGGCTAGGTACGAAACGAACCTCTGAAGCTATTGGTGAAGGTCAGCTCGGCGTTCAACAAGGGCTCGTAAAGGCAGTAGTGGTATGATTGCAGCTGCGCAGGCAATTAAACCTGGCATTGCAGGTGGTGCAGGTGGTCGGTGTCAGTGACATCATTGGCGGCATGGCGAAAATACGAGAATTCAATTCCCCGCGTCATCTGAAGACGCCAGCCACTCAGCTTTCTGTTCGCGTACGCCGACGACGTAAACACTGCACCGCCGCCCACTGCAGGTGCGCTCTTATACTTTCCCATAGAAAACCTACCTACCAAGTCCGGCAATAAACCTCTCCATAATCTAACGCATCACTTTATCATTCCTACATACCATTAGCGCCCCGGTAAAGCGGTCTCGAAAACGAACCTCGCAATTTGGGTGCAGGCGCCACTGGTGTAGACTCTTGCTTTGGGTAGTCGTCCAGGCCTTGAACCTCGACTCGGAGTTGAGGCCGGCTGAGTTGGTTCGCTGAGCGCGCCAAAGTTCCAGAGGCATGTCAGAAAATGTTTCCAAGATTCTGACTCGTATCACTGCCTATGATGGATCTGCAGCTGATCCGTACGACCATGAGATCTCTCTAATCGACAGCACCCGGCCTGTGAACGAACCCCAATCCCACGATGAGCCTCGTTCAAGCTCTCCAAGCTCGAGCGCAAGAGAGTTGGCAACCAAGGGAACAAGAGAGTCTTTGAAGGAGCACCTTGGCCGTCGGAAGTATGCCAAGTACCAGCAGGACCGATACCCTTCTAAGACGAGCAGTATTGTTGCTGTCGACGAACACTCATCACGGCCGGCAACAGCTCAACAGACGCCAGATGCCGGGACACAGGCTGGTACGCAGGAGGTGGACTTTGCACACGCGGCATCTGTGACAAGAGGACGGAAGCGAGCAGAGAGGAGAAAGCGAGAGTCCAGAAAGCTTAAACACGAAGTCCATGAGATTGACATACTCTACGAAAACCAGCGTGGATGGTTCTTCTGTGGCATTCCATTTTATTCGCACTCGTCTCTGTTGCCACCCGATCCCAGTCCTTGGTCGACCAAAGATCTGAAGGATTCAGCTGTCAATATCACCAATGCCCAGGTGCCTGATCCGACCTGGGAATGGGCATGGAACAGCTGGTACGTCGACATGAGCCACGACGTAGACGAGGAAGGATGGCAGTATTCTTTTGCTTTTGGACGCAACTGGACCTGGCATGGGACACATCCCTGGTTTCACTCATTCGTTCGGCGGAGACGATGGTTACGGAAGAGAGTCAAGCGGGATGTGCATGACAATTATGGTAGGCCAGGAAGCGTGGGCGATGCCCACCATCTAAACGGCGACTATTTCACCATTCATTCCAAACGAGATCGTAGTCCGATCAGTGCAGTAGATGGCCCCGGTAAAACCGCGAGACCATCAAGCTTCGTGAGCTTCCCAAGCACAATTGTTCACGACCAACCGCCCGAGGAGATCAAAGACATTGCGACCCTCCTTACGGCACTAAAGTTTGCGCCCATCGATCGAGAGAAAATTGATGTGGTCAAGAGGTTTGTTCAACAAGGCGGAGAGGAGCTAGTCTACCTCAAAGACCACATACCGGATATCATGTCCTTTCTCGTTTTCCAGAATTCCAGGAGGCAGCTCCTTTCATATCTTAAAAAGATGGCAATTGAAGCGCGCGAACACCGGAAGTCCCACGAACAACAGAACAAGCCGGAGGGGGACGCTGAAAGCCGGAGAATCAACAATCTGCTTGCTGCCGTGGAGGCTGCCGACGCTGAAATTGGAGCACTCGAATATTGGAGCGACAGGAAGCATGTATTGAAGACCAACGATGCTGCAAGTCTGGCGACCCGGCCGATAGCCACCATCTTCGATCAGCCGAGTCTCAAACCAGCGGCAGATGACAACCCTGTGGAAGAGATCAAAGGAATACCTGAGAAGGCTGACATTGAAGGGGGAAACACGCAGATGTTATTCAAACCTGAAAAACAGTCGTCCATTGAGGGCACGCAGGAGCGAGAGAGGGCGAGAGAAAAGGAAGACAAGGGCAAAGGTCGTGCGTATGACAGCGAGGAGGACGATCAAGTGGAGCAAGACTCGTCTCCGCGATTGGGAACCGATGAGGTTTATGTTCCAGACCAAGACTAGTGGTCTGAGAGAGCGAAGTGCATTCTTCATTAGTTAGCGTAGGCGTTTGACTGGAGTACCTGGGCGTGGTGAGGTTGGGAGACAAGTATTCCATAGTTGGGTCTGAGGATGATCATCCGTCAAGGCCGATAATCGGTGGCTGGGGAAGCAATATAACCATATTAGGTTAGCGCCATTGCGGGTCGCGTCGCGACGCGATTTTCGATTTCCTCTTAAATAGCGAGACAGATCCAATTGCACTCGAGCCAGGAAGTATATCCAAACATACAGGAATGCCGAGCTTGTGAAACTCTCAGTCCTAGTTCTATTCACTCTTCTCGGTGCAACATACAACTCTGCTCAGTGCTCTTTGACTCTCGCTTTCACAGCCTCAGCGTAGACAGTTGATTTCGAAGCCGCACCTTCCTTCCCCGGTCCAGCGATGGCTCTTTCCGTGCGTGGAACTTCGCATCGGATCAGCAAACGACAAACACCCATCGACACCCGCGCAAAGGTCTCTAAAGCCTCGAAATCTGCCAAACTCTCCGTCGCCCTCAGGTCGAAATTGGAAGAGGTCGCTCCCAAACCTGTGGCCCAAACCAAGAAGACTCTCAAGCATGTCCCCAAGCGCAAACGTGATGCAGTGCAGGATGACAGTGAGAGCGAGGCGGGCAGTGTGTATATCACCCAGATCAATAGCAAAAAGGTTAGAGCCACTTTGAGGCGCTTGTTGCAGCTGTGCTAACCTCTCCTCAGCCCAAGTTGCAACTACCCACGCCTCCCTCCAGCAAGTCCAAAGGCGAAAAAGAGGTCGTCGATATGGACTTCTCCCCAACCCTCACCTTTCGGCAACTTTCCCTCGACACGGATAATGCCGAGCCAGTTCCGCAGGCTCTTCCTCCAGTTTTACAGGACTTTGTGTCACTGCACGCAGCCTTACTCAAGGCATTTGCTCTCCACCTTGTACACAATGGCCAATCCACACCAGCCGATTTGGGAAGTCTGATGAGCTCTGTCACCAGGCTTTGGAAGAAACACACCGTGACAAGGGAGGATATTCAACGGATGCTGGCCATCTACGAGTTGGACGTCTCAACACATTTCAGCGGTCGTCTTCTCAAGCACCAAGAAGGGCCCTTTAGACTCACCATGACGGGCGCCGATTTTGTCCGCTACAACGTCGAGTATGTCGGTGCAGGCAGCAATAGATCTTTTATCCCCCGGTGGGATGAGTGTAATCTACAAAAGCTGTATGAAGCCGAAATCGAGGCCTGCTGGATCTCTCAGCGGAATAATTCTTCCTGTTGGGTCCATGGGCCAATTCAGAACTTTCCTCGTCTGAATTTTGACGTCAGCGTCGAGACCCAAGTACGCAAAGCCAAAGCCGAGACAGCCCGGAGGGAGATCTTGGGGTTGGCATCCGAAGCACAAACCCGTGCAGGCGCGCAGTTCTCGCTGTACACGAGCAACGCCTCTGAGAAGAATGAGGTCAACAATCCGCAGATTGTGAAAGATCGCACACTGTCCCTCTTAGACCGTGTCAGAGCCAGAGCGCTTGTCAATTCTGCCGCGACACCTCAGAGTGCGGAAGCCACACTTCGTCGATACGCTGTCGGCCGCATTTCAGAAGTGGTCGAGATCCTCCGAATGAAACAACAACGCAAATTGAGCACGAATTTCGTGTCATGTGTTCACTCGAGCCCAAGCAAGGTTCGAGGCAAGGTGTCGTTTAGCATGAAGCAGTTGATCAACGATATCAAAGGCAGTCTGACCGTCCCGATTGGGGATGCTGAACTCAGGATGTGTATTCATATACTGCAAGATGAAATCCCAGGAATGTGGGTGTCTATTTATACTGTCGGGACCGTTGAAAGCGTTATTCTCAATGGACCAGGACTGAGTGGTGTTGAGGTGAAGAGGATCCTTGACGAGAAAGAGGCGATGTGTTGAAGGATTCCTCAAACGCATTGTACAAAAGCTAGGGTGGTCAGCAAATTCTCTCGCGTACTTGTCCAGTTTTAACGGTGGCCATGGTTAATGGATATTGGCCCACGCAAGAGATTCTCAAGATAGGGGATATCTGTGTATATAATCTGTAGATAATGCACCTTGCAAAGCGAGGCTTTGGCAGCCGGCGACATGCCGAAGTCGGCAGATTGTCCAAGTGGTTGTCATCGAAGGGCGCTTCGTTCATCCCCAATTGAACTGCGAATTTAGCGACGTCGTGGCTCACGAAGAGAATTTATTGTCAGTATTGACTTGAAATTGATAGCGACTTGAATACTCGAATTTTTCGAATCTCAAGTTTTGGGTTGATGAGAGCATCTCACCAGCAGAGCAGAGCATAGCAGATTAACACTTGACTCCTCCCTCTCCAAGTCAAGCATCGCCAACTCGTTCAAAGAGCAACAAAAGAGAGCCGCGAACAGAACCGAGAATGTCCGGCGGAGGTCCAGTTCCGGTGCCTGTAAAGGGCGATGATCCCTCGATCCTGTGTATGGAAGACATCAAAGCAATTGCAGACGCAAAGCTGCCAGAGGTTGCAAGAGGTAATGTCCATTTGTTGGGTTTAGTTTATATGCCTTGGTCCATCTTCCCCTTCGTCCTCTTCTGCATCTTCGCTTTTACATCTAACACGCCTGAGAGCGATCAAGACTTCTTCAACTCCGGCTCAACCTACCAAACCACGATTGCCGAAAACAGCTCCGCCTTCTACAAGTACCGTCTCCGCTCGCGCGTCCTCGTTGATGTCTCCCAGTTGTCCACCTCGACCACCTGTCTCGGGCGGACCATCAAGTTTCCCCTGTGCGTGTCGCCCGCAGGGATCCAGGCCATGGCTCACCCGGACGGGGAAGTGGCGACGGCCCGGGCGTGTGCGAAGGTCGGCATCAACATGGGGATCTCGAGCTTTTCAAACTACTCAGTAGAGGACGTCGTCGGGGAATCCAACGGCGGCGTCAACTACGCCATGCAGATGTACACCATGAAAGACCGGACCCTACAGGAGCGCATCACCCAGCGAGCCGAAGCGGCGGGCTGCAAAGCCATCCTGCTCACCGCCGACTCGCCCGTGCTGGGCGTGCGGTACAATGAGTGGCGCAACGACTTTCGGACCCCCGAAGGACTCGGTTTCCCCATCCTCGAGTTGACGAGTGAGATGATCCGCAAGCAGACGCACGACAGCGGCTTCACGGCCTTCAACGACGACTCGCACCACTGGGCCCGCGACATCCCGTGGCTGAGAGAACGGACCAAGATGCAGATTTGGATCAAGGGCATCGTCACGGCCGAGGACACAGAGTTGGCCATTCAACACGGCTGCGACGGCATCATTGTCAGCAACCACGGCGGACGACAACTCGATGGCGTCCCCGCTACCATTGACGCATTGGTGGAATGCGTCGACGCCGCCCAGGGACGCATCCCAATCCACTTGGACGGAGGCATCAGGAAGGGAACAGACATCTTCATCGCCCTCGCCCTGGGGGCCCAATGCGTCTGGGTCGGCCGACCCGCCATCTGGGCGCTTGCGCACAGTGGACAGTCAGGCGTCGAGAAGATGCTGGAGATGCTCTATGACGATTTCCGCCGGTGCATGGCGCTTTGTGGATGCAACAGTGTCGACGAGATCAAGAGGAGCTGTCTGAGCAGGATGGGCCTCGACGGCGTCTTGAGGCGTATGGAGTAGTTAACGACAGCTGGCTCAAAGTAGACCACGAGCGAGGTATACGGTACGATATAATCGGTATACAATGGCTGGATGCCCAGCGACTACTCTGTACAAATAATGCGTCCGTAGAAACAATGGTATACAAGCAACTCACCATCGAAGAGAACTCGGTACAACAACAGCATTAGTGGTTATCGAGGTCCTTCCATCTGATGATAGGGACTTGCATTCACCCTCCCGCCGGCCCAGGTAGTCCATGCACCTCTGACACCCTACTGGGGCTTACCCATGCCAGCCATGCTGACATGCGACAGACATGAAACACTCTGCGCCTCAATACCCCATCCATCACCCACGGGGCCGAACCATCCGTGCACAAGATCCCAATTCACCCATCCTCTGCTCTCGGTGGCATATTCGACCGAGACGAAGAGAAGGTGGGCAGAAGGTACAGTTGTTGGAAAAGGGACCTTTGCGGTCCTCTTCTTCATTAGGCATTAAATTACTAGATTAAGTTTTCGGGTTGCCTTGCGCCTCGTGGGATTCCAGTCCCTGGAGCATCTCATCAACCTAATCCAGGCATATGTCAATGCCGTTACACAACATCTCATCACTCGACCAACCAGCTTCCGTCAATGCATCGAGCCGCTGTGATCGTCAACCCACAACCATGCAGGCCTGTTGCGGGCAATGTTGTAGGCATGGGGTCTCAACGATGTGTGAACGTGGCTGGGGCTGTTGTAGAGCCGGATGTTGCTGACGGACATAGACATGGATGGCTGATGTTCAAAGGTTGTTCTCTTCTGGTGTCTTGTCGCAATGGTTGGCTGTATGTCCATTTCCAGGATCATCCGTGATTTTGATATGGATTTCGCCCTGCAGACATTTTGTGACCAACCATGTCTCTGACCAGCTCCTAATTCTCACAGCTCATTCAAACTCATTGTCCGAACGCGTTCTAGAAGCGAAATGTAGACTCCGATCATTCCTCCTTCTTCCTTCCCCCTGCTTCCTTCCCCCTGCTTCATTCCCCGTATCCCGTGTTGAACCAAGCGAATGGCATATCGGTCGTATCTCGATATCTTTATTGTACAAAAAGGGTGTACAAAGCGAGTGTAATGCATCCATCCAGACGGTAAACAGTAGCCGCTGGACGACAAACAGGCTGCTGGAAGCCACATCGCTCAAACATTCCAAGTTTAAACGCCAGTGTGAAATCAGAATATGCTGGAGTCCAGCAAAAACGCCAAAACCATGGGGTGATAGCAGGCCGGTTCTGCGTTGCAAAGCCTTCCCAATTCACAACCCCAACCACGTCCCAGTCCAGAAAGAAAATCCTCGTGCTGGCGACTGTGGGGTCCCCCGTGTAATTCCACGCCAAGTCAGCCTCATAAACCGTGTCCGGAGCAAATAGGACAGGGTTCGGCGAGGTTCTTGAGAAGTGGTCTGGTCAGGGAAAGGGGTAGTCGCAGTGGTCGTTGTATTACAGTCGAGGCTGTTCTATGTGCAGAAATCCAGAAAAATTGAGCGCTCATATGCAAGGTTCTTGATCCGTATGCGTCTTTGATTCGTAAAAGAAACGCCAGGTTAAAGGTACTGTAGAGTTCATAGAAGACCTTGGAGGGTTCATATCAAACGGCCTAATCATATCATCTTTCGTAATTCGAATATGCGTCCGTCCAAGGCTTGGGGCTCTCCTCGGTCGGGCTCAACGAACCGGAAGAAATGGAGGACGAGGAGCCGATGGTCCACTCGTCGCTGTCGGGGCTGCTGCCATCGAGGCCAGCAATGCCATAGCTATAGTCGTTCTGGACTTCACCTATCTCGACGTAGTCGTAGTCCCACCGGTACCGCTTGTCAGGCTGAAGTCTCGGCAGGAACTTAGCCTTTGCGAAGTAGAAGATGACACCTGCCATCAGGCTCCCAGCTACCAGATCCACAGCGTAATGATGCGAGAGATACATGGTTGACCACCACAGCCAAGCCGCGTAAAACGCCCACAGCGGGGTGTATCGGGGAAAGATGTGGCTCATGAACAGCGCCTCGAGAGTGGCGGTCGCTGCATGCAGTGACGGAAAGGCACCAAAGACCATTGGAGAGGCGGTAAATCCAGAGGTATACATATCGATTCCGAGCAATGCATCAATACGAGCTAGACCGGCGGGCGAGCCTTGCATGGAGTAGTTGGCTGGTGCCAGGCCGTACATGTTCTCGTACCACGGAGCGGAACATGGAAATAGGACCTGGATGATGACTCCGGCGAGATTCATGTACCCAAAGCTGAATCCAAAGACTGGAAGAGTCGTGGGTGGACCAAAGACGAAAATAATGGCGGCAACCACGAAAGGACCACCAAAGTGACCCAGTCCATAGGGGAACCAAGCCATGAGATCCAGGGCCGTATTCTTGTGGGCGGAGAGGATATTGCTGAGGTTGGCACCATAAAGAATGTTTTCGAGCGCGGGGAGGACTTTGACCCAGATGGGAGGCCGCCAGGAAGCCGGGATGAATCTGTGCGTGTGGAAAATCAACACTTAGTATTGTCTTCACTAAATGGGGGATTGGGGGCAGAACAAGGCGATTTTCGCCAAAATACGCGAACAAACTTACCTGCAGGCATAGAAGAAAATGAGGTATGCGGCAATAGGTGTAAAGGGTCGGAAGAATTGTCGAGTAACGGGAAATATGAATGAGGCGAGGAGGAGTGTAGCGACCGCCGTCTTGACCAAAGGACCCGGGTACTCAATGATGCTCAGCGAAAAAATGCCCACCACCGCGAGAAACAGCCATTGCCCGTCATAAATCGACCATCTATGATTCTGTAGTGACCGTAATGTGTCGGCAGGAGAGAACGAAGTCTTGAGGGAGGCGAGCGAGGATGCAGGTGACGATCGGTTGCGGAGCTTTGATCTCAGCCTGCGCCGCAGCCTGTGAGGGACGAGAAGCTGTAGGGATTTCCATGGGATCTGTATTTGAATCTGCTTCTTTTCGGCGTCCTTCCAGGACGGCAGGGAAGCCTGCATTGCACCTGTGTCGGGTGCCTAGCGGGAAGTGAGGTCAGGGCGCAGGCTGGGCGAGCGAGTCTCGTGCGCGAAATTTGGACTTTGGCGTTGCTGTAGAAGAGTCTCGAGGCGACGGCGAGGGGTAGAGATTCGAGACAACGAGAGTAGAACGCGGAGAGGGTCGAGCAGAGGATCCGAGGAGGCCGGAAGAATGATGACCAGAAGGGGAAGAAGAAAGAAGATATGGAAATCAGTCAAAGAGGTACGAGAGTATGGCAGTGGTTAAGGGCTTAGGTGAGCACTGGAGGAAGATAGAGACGATGTGGATGTCTGCGGATCGACTTGGTGCGAAAAGGAAGCAGCCCAGACGAGCAACGGGCTCGCGGTTCGCTCTTCCACAGAATGCCGGCCTCTCTGTCGCTTGTATCGCCCAGTCGAGAAGGTCAAAAGGTGGATAGGCTCGCAAATGGATACGATCAGGCCGGCCCAAGGAAAATACGCCCTAAGCCCAAGCCGTCCTGGTAGGCGAGTCTAAAGTGGCTCAGGCCTTGTCGCTCGCCTTCGGGGCCTTCGGGGCTCTTTTTGTGAGAGACTCTTGCGCCCAACTGGTGGCTTTTCGGGGATGTCCAGCTCCACCACACCCGCTCTCCGCCGCCTAAAGCGCAGAGTTTGCGCCCCTTTCACGATCAATGCCTATGAGCAAAAAATCCCTCTACTGCATTCCTCGACGTCACTATGAGCTGCCAAAGTTCACCGACAGCTTGGTTGCAGTGATGCAAACTCACATGTGATAGCAGTCATGACGACAAGACTCAACGGAGTACCCTATATACTGTGGTTTCCTATCTGTCCTGAATACTAATTTACTCTGGCTAGGACAAGCACACTATCAAGAAGAGGGCCTGGGAACAAGGTGTAACTCGAACACGAAGCTGGAGCGCGGGACCGGGGATGATTTGTGCATTAAGCATTACTGGTAAGCATTGAGCATTGGAGGCGACCGCCCCGGGATGAGCGATGGGTACCCGCGTGATTAATGGCAATCTCCCCCTCGGTGTGAAAATTGTTGTGTGTCTGGTCATTCTGTCATTTTCAGCAAAAGCCCTGGTGTCCCCTCAGTCAACGCCTTGTCAGACCCATCCTCGTATTTCTGGGGCCTTCACCCTTCTCCCCCTCCAATTTCCCCTTTCCGCAACCGAAAGAGAGCGTTGTCTGCTCAACAACCAATGCGATCGACACAGATAAGATCATACCAGTATACCGAGACCTGACCTCACCATCGAAATTACCCTGTCCACTCCCCACGACACAACGCACGTGAGATACTGGTGCATAACAAAAAAAATGCAGTTTCACAAAGAGCCTGCCTTTCCGGCCACAGCCGAGCCTGCAGAATGCACGAGGGAGCGAGAGCTGAAAATAACGACCAATCAAGAGATGTTTTTACGAGGTCAACTTGCATACACGTAGAAATTTCTTTGCATTGCGCTGCGATAGGCTAGTTTGACGCCCACGTTGTCGTTGCTTTGGCCGATGCGCAAAGACCCTGACTGAGCATCGCTGACACTCCCAAGTCATCCCCATTTGCGGAGTAATCACGATGTGCTTGTTGCAAGGTATGGGCACGGGCCATCGGCAGCCTGAACAGTGGACACAGTGACATAGTATCAAGAAGTTGGTCAATGCTCCGTATCCGGATATTGGTGCAGGAATTATCAAGCATCTTACAGAAGCGTTGCGACGAATGGGTCGCTTGAAACAGGACAACAGTTTAGCAGCGTCATTTCTCGTTCCCTTGAATTGGGATAGAAAATGCTATGTTGCCCTTTTGGTTCATGGCCATCTAGGCAGATTGGCTTGTGGAGCATTTGCGCATCCATCGCGCCATGTACTGTGGCTCTTGAGATCTTCATCGCTTTTTGATCGAAAGCGTCCATCTGTACTTCCGTTGAATCATGTCGTCCTCATACATCTTTGGTTTAATTCCTGTTAGCTATTCAGTCTGGCATCTGAACCGAGTCTGCTGTGCATATGTTCCTCGCCAAACCATTCCACGTTCACGGCTCTTGCGCTGACGGCGAAGAGGATTGCCAGAAAATAACTCCTTCTCGAGATGCTCAATAGTGAGACTTCTTAGGATCTGCTTTGCGAGGAGGTGGTCCGTGACAGCGGAGTCTGCGCCGATGTTGTGCGAGACAGGTTGTTCTGGTTTGACCCGTGTCGCGAGAGACTAGGAACCGACTGCGCTGAAGACGATGAGCGCGAAAACCTGCCCATCGACAAGTCAGCATTGCTTCCTGATATTTGACATGCTCTTGTTTGACCGAGGTGGCGCCACTGAACATTGATCAAGAACAATTCACACGTACGGGTTCCTCTTCTCCGCTCCAGGCGTCCCCGAAGGCGTCTTGCTTCCCTGTCCCGATCCTAGCGCCGGGGATTGAGATGAGTTGTTCCAGACTTTTGTCAAAACACTGCGTTGGAATTCCCAAGTCAGTCCTCTCTTGCACTTCCGAAGACAAATTCTCGAGCGCATGTGGTCGTGCCTACCTCTGCGCCGCATCCTCCTGTTGTTCCCGTGTCACTTCTTTCACCCCGACTTTCATCCCGTCACGACTGAATGAAACGTTCTTCCTTTCGAGTTTCTGCCGCGTCTTGTGTCCGACATCATGAGCGATCGAGTAGGCCACAAATCCGATGGCTGCGACAACGGCAACGAGGACAATCAGGATGATGAGGGCGATGAGGTTGCCTGCTTTGGCCATTGTGAAGAGGAGATAGACGTGGTGTCAGGAACGTGGCCCAGAGTCTTCGTGTCAACAGCAGTGGCCTGAGTGATATAGGTTCTTTTGTGTGGGTAAACAGGGTCGGTGTAGACTGGGGGCGCAACGTTCGTCTGAAACGTGGTGTGAAGATTTTGGCCCTTGATATGCTACACAGAAATGAGGTTTCGCACCACAATCCTTCGGTGCGTTCTGGCCCCTGGGGGTCGTCCCCTTTGTCGATCACCTGTGAGCCCTCCTTATGCACCTTGAGGGGGCGAATCTGAGTGTAGTCGTCCTTGGCAAGAAGGATGAGAGGCTGATGCGCCACAGCTGAACTATGGCTCCTGTGGCTTCGACCGATAATCTCTGCTTCATTGGAGAGCAGAGCGATGGCCCCAGCATGCCCGCCACCGCCCAGTACGCCATGTTAGCAAAACAAGCCACTCCCACATGGCATGTGATAACTCCCTAATTCGGATGGGTCTGTTCTTCGCAGTAATAATTTTACTCGTACAATTCTACTTTAATGCGTAATTCTCAATGGGTCTATACTGAGGGGTATTTTCACCTGAAGGGACCGTGCTATTGTGCCACTCGAAAGAGACACACAGATGCACAATCCACGGCGCCCGAAGCTTCACCATGCAACAACAAGAACGCCCAAATTGCCTTAGTGTACAGTTTCCAGCTTCCATCATTAGGTTCATTCCTCATTATAGATCTTCACCTTCTCACTGATCTCCCAGATCCTGCTCTCATAGCTCTCCTCAATCTGCTCACCCTTTCCCCCTGCAACTCGGAGGATCAAGTCGTTCAAGCTACTTCTACCCAGGATATCGACGTGGTCACCTGTATTCGGTCCGCCACGAGGGCTGAACCGATCTGGCTCGTGCGGCATCTCAAAGGTCGTGATTTTGATGTTTGCAGGATTATACCTTTTGATTTCTCGCCACCCTTTTGCGCACATGTATCCGGTGGAAAGGAGGTTGACAGTACCATCACCTTCACCAAAGACGACTCCATGGTCAACGCTGCCCGCCTGCTGGAGACGGCCATTGGGAGAATTAACACTGGTATCGATGGAGACGTTGATGTACCCGTTCAGTGAGTGGCCGTGCTCCTTGTAGAAGTATGAGCGCTCAGTAGGCTTGCCGATACCATAGAAGCAGTAGATTTTCATGTCAGGCGCATATGGAAGTCGAGACTCTAGGGGATTCACCCAGGTAAGAGGGTTGTTTTCGTTTTGTTCGACTTCGGCTTTCGTATGGGCGATGCCATGAGAATACGAGTGCTTGATTTGCTCCGCATACCAAGGCTCTGCTATATGCATAAGATAGTCAAAGGCTTGTGTCATTGTGAGATTCTTGCGCACGGGCTCCGTAAGATTGCCACGCGGCTTGAACGAGATGAATGTTCCGTGCGTCTTGTTCTGTATTGGAGGCGGCAAATCGTCTGGAGCCCACGTAGCATTGCCCCATACCGCATCACCGCCTTTGGGCAGCATCGACGATATACCAGGCATGGCGCGGAAGATCTCTGCGCGGTCTTCCTTGGATAAGAACTTCTCCAGACCGTAGACAGCAAAGGCATTGAGTTGAGCAGTGTCTTTCATCTCACCGGAAAGTACTGCTGGAATGTCTTTTGCTGTTCCAAGCATGCAACCAGAGATGTTGATCCATGAGTCGATATGTTTGTTAACCCACCGGGAGCCTCCTTTACCATGATCCTTGTGTTCTACCCACTTCATAAAGTAGAAAAGAACTTGGCTGCCCATAGAATGCGAGACGAGGACTGCCTTCTTACCAGTTGTCATTTGTGCCACCTCGATATAGTTCTTAAGCCGCGTGAAGTATTGATCCCTGCGCTCCAGGTTGGCATAGGACAGGCGCCAGTCATAAGCAGCCGTGAAAGCATTTGTCGGATCATATCCGATGGTGGCGAGATTTTCCAGAATTTTGTTCCAAATCCAATACCCGGTGATGAAGAAATCAGTGGCATCAAAGCCTTGCGCTGCTCGTAGCTTGATGTCTGGAGGATCAAGTCCTGTCTCTTTGTCCAGCATGATGTGCTTCTTCCAGGCAGCTTGGTCCATGACGAGAGCTCTCATCATGGACCATGAACCCCACAGCCGCTTCCGAAAGTACTGCCTGGACTTTTCGCCCGTGGACCAGGACTCCAGTCCCGTAGATATCACTCCAGGCACCATAATGACGGGATGGTGGGCTTTCACTCCCTGGGAGAGCAGATGGAGACCAACGGAGAACGAGTCATAGTTGACGACATCCCGTTCAGCTCTCGAGAGATCCTTCACATCATTCACTATGCCTATAGGAATGACATCCAGCCGACTGTCTAAATTGACCTCCAGCAATCCTTCTAATTTGATAACATCTTGCGACTGAGCAAACAGTAAAGCCAACAATAAGCCTAGCAAGCCGCCCAGTCCAAATGTGATGCCGGATCTTCTTTTACTGTGTCTCCTCTTCTTGAGTTGTTCCAGCTTCTTACTGGAGACCAGCTTGACCTCTTCGTTGGGATCTGGCGTACCATCGCGACTTGGTTCGGGGGAGGGTGTAGGTGACTCGTTGATGATGTTGGCAATGCGGCGACGGAGAGAGGACATGTTTGAAAGTACAGCGCCTCGAGCAAGCAGTGGACTTGCATGGAGGCACGCGATAGTATAATATTCCAGGGGTGGGCGCGGATTCTTCGGGGTATGGGTTGCTGCTGAGTGTGCAATTAAATCATCCTGGTCTGGCCCTTTCACATGTTTCGTCATCGGCGTTTTCTAGGGCGAGAGATCTTCAGGAACAAATCTTCTCCGTGCGATTCGCTTTCCACCTCCAACATGGCATTCTTGACCACACCTTAGAAGCCAGGATACCATGAGCGGCAATGCCGCTGCTGCTGTCGAGTCGCTCAGCGGCAGCAAAGTCAGCGCGGTCTCTGCCAGTGCGCACTTCCAAACAACTCCTGCCGACATCCACTACCTGCAATACTCACTAGAGAAGGAAGCCGAATACCTTCCTCAAATTCGCGAACTGATCTCCAAAGACCTCTCTGAACCCTACAGTATCTATGTCTACCGGTACTTTCTCTACCAGTGGCCTGAACTCTGTTTCATGGCCGTTGACGCCAACGATGACAACAGACTCGCCGGAGTGGTGATCTGTAAACTAGAGCCACATCGAGGAGGACCATTGAGAGGATACATCGCTATGCTGGCCACGAAGGACAAGTTTCGGGGCAAGGGCATCGCCACAACGCTTGTCAGCAAAGCGATGGATTTGATGATTGAGAAAGACGCAGACGAGATCGCGTTGGAGACCGAGGAGACCAATACAGCGGCCATGAAGTTGTACGAGCGACTGGGGTTCTTGAGGAGCAAGAAGCTGCATAGGTACTACATGAACGGCAACAGCGCGTATCGCCTGCTGCTTTATCTGAAAGAGGGGGTTGGCGGTATTCTGACACAAGACGAGTTCAATGGTCCTGGTCTGGAAGTACAAGACGAAATGAGATACCCTCATCGCTATCAAGAATCTCCGCAGGATGTATTAAGTCGTGGCATTGTCTGAATCATTAGAGACAACCGCCTATCCACTCCTCCCACCTCCTTACTCCTTTGCCCGCTTCTTCTCCTCTGACTGCTCCTCCCAAGACGTCTATCCTAATGTCATACTCTTCCGCCATCAATTCAAAACTGAACTTGTCTTCGCCACCACCACCTAGAATGTCTTCCTCTGCATCGGTATCTACGTCTTGGCCCACAGTACCGAGACCTTTGCTTCTGGAAACACGTACCCGTTCAATCTCGGCCTGTAGGCGTTCCTTGACCGCACCTGTCGGTAATGCGGTGAACAAATCCTGCTTATTCGCCGCGATGAGGACGGGTATTGCGGTCTTGTTTTTGCCTCGAGTTTTTCGTCTCTGAAGGGCCAGTAATGTATCGTAGAGGTATACAGCAGTGTCACGAGATGTGGAAGAGTCGCTAGTGTCCAGGACACTTGAGTCAACCACAAATATGACCCCACGGAGGGCAGGATTCTGGATGTGTGATAAGGCCTGGTCCGACCTGAGCTTTCCATGGCCGGGGGTATCGATCATTGCATATGGTGTCGATTGTTTGTCTTTCAGGCTGACATCATTATCGGAGCGATATTTGTTGGACCCCAAGGGGACGGAAGGCGGAAGTAGTAAGCTGACGGAGGAGGATACTTGGGAAGTGCGGGTGAGTGCTGCTTCTGCTTGGGAATCTTCTAGTTTGGAGGATCGTTTTTGTAGCTGGACATCCTGTTAGTCAAGTAGGTTGACAAGAGCCCGACCGGGCAGAATCTCACCAAAGAGACCAGAGAAGTCTTGCCTGCGCCGCTGGAACCAAGAAGGAGGAAACTTGGGACGACTCTGGCACGAGCAGTCTGGGTGTAGAGGTACAGGTGGACGAGTAGTGGCAGGGTTATTGTGACCAGGAATGCGATGAGGATGACAACAGGATCGCCGGATAAGAGCCTCGTAGCCCAGCCATCCGTAGATGACCAGCCCATATCGAACAAGACTGGCCGAGGCAGATTGAAGAAGGACCGTTCAAGATGGCACAGTGTCTACCTCACGAAGGCATGACGCAAATAAAGCGGCTGAGAACAAAGAATTACCAGTGGCTGATAGGCGGGGTCGGAGTGAGACGTTGGTAGTGTCGTGCCTTGCATTTGATCTTCTGCTATTTACGGATTGGGCTGGGCCTCGTCCCAAATCGTAAACTGCGCTCACACGGAGTCCTTGGTAACCAAATCCTTCACAGCACAATTCTTACTGCGTTTTACTTTGCATGTTTCTTCTCCTTGCCTGTCCCATTCCGACCTCAACTTCGCCCGCGAAATGATTCTACGGAGCATCTATCTCCTGGCGGTTGCCATCATCCCTTTTACGCGTGCTGATGTTCAAGTTGTCGCACCCCAACCCGGGGACAGTATCACCGGACTCAATCTGCAGATACAATGGAAAGACTCAGGCAACTCACCTCCTCTCTCCCAACTCGCCAATTATCAACTTTTCCTGTGTGCAGGAGGTAACGACGAGTCCGCCTACGTAAGAACACAGAGCAGTGGTAGACGGGAATATGAGGCTGACTGCGTGTGCTCAGATTCCGATCGCAACACTTGTTGAAGAAGGAACCTTTACCACGGGCAACTCAATCACTATTACCTTGCAGCCGGGTACTGGTGCTAATATTCCCAACGCCTATTTCTTGAAATTCGTGTCCGCCGCTACAGGAGGCACTGTCATCAACTTCTCCGATCGTTTCTCTCTCAAAAGCATGACTGGCACATTTCCGGCCGTGGTACAGCAAGGGTTGAGGACTGTTACTGGTACTGCCGGCCCAGCCGACGTCAACAACGTCCAAGCCCCTCAGGCGGGCGCTGGTCCAAACAACCCATCTGTCGGAGACGCTGTCTATAGTACCCCTTACACCATGCAGACAGGGACAATCCGCTATGCCCCCATGCCTCCAATGGCCCAAACAAAGATCACTGCGAAGAATGCTTCTCCTTTGTGGCCAACCAGCGCATATACAGTCTACCAAACCATTGCCGGCACCCCAAATGCCGTCACAACGAACACCTTGGCCCTGACATTCAGCGTTTCTAGTCGCGAGAATCCTGTAAGATCCCCCGAATACCTTCTAGGAGACCATCTGCTGACTCTTCCAGGTGGCTGCAGCTGGTCAACCGACCGACGTAGCAATGCAGAAGTTCCTTAACCGCTGGAAGGATTGAAAGTCAACGAGCAAAACAATTACATTATGAAAACATCAACCTGCATGGTTCGTTGCGCGAGTGTGATATAGTTAAGTTTATGCCCAGGAGAATGGAGTTTTGGTCGGATCTGGGTGTCGATTAAATGCACTGTGTGCCTTTTCTGGTTGATGGAAGTGGAATCTATATGTGCCTCCAACGCCTTGCTGAACGATTCTTGAGTTGAAACTGTTGGAGTACCACAGCCAATGTCACCGGTATATCTCATCAAACGGTCTCGTGTCCCGAAAACAGCTGTCCCACACCTCATTGACAACCTTGACTGCTTGTACGTCGTCTTTGCAGTTCGGTCGACCCATGACTGACCGTATCGCTCGCCGTCGGACGCAGTCCTGGTGATGGTTCGTGAAAGAGAGGATCTTGTTGCGAAAGAACTCGTTGGCCCAGCGACATTCACCGCTGAGGTTGCTTGCCCGAATCTGCGTGCACTAGTTAGCTTGGATATCTTACAAGGTCGGCAGATCCTGACCTCCGAACACGCCGCATGTCTCAGATCATCCTCAAGGGTCAAGTTCGTCTTGAATCGCAGGTGGTCATATGCGTGCACCATCTCGTGTGCCAGTACATCCTCCAGGACAGACCGTTCCTGCACATAGTTTGCACATATCTTGATGCCGTATTTATGGTCAAAGCCACCTTGCATTGCCTCCTCGTCGCCTCTGCACGTTCTGCAGTGGATGTTATGCGGTCCCAAGTCACCACCCAATTTGTGAATGTTCTCATTCATGAATCGGATTATCGGCGAATATTTCAATAAATAGTCCCGGCTCTCTTCGCAGCGTTTGCAATCGAATGCGCTATATCGATCGTCCGCATCGGCCCAGTACTTTTGCGCTCCTCCGGGAGACATGCGCCCGGTAATCATGCGGAAGAAATTTACTGAACGATTCCACCAGGTGTTGCTGGGGAGGAAGTCTGAAGCATCTTGCTGGGAAGGACTAGAGGACGAGGTGGAGGAGGGGTGGTCAGCCATAACGAGGGAGCTTTGATCTAGGGCCTTGGAAGAAGAGGGAGAACAAACAAGAAGCAGAACTACCCATTCAAAGAACAAAGTGACACCGAAGCTGTACGAGGTAGACCAAAGGGGAAACTTGCGATGATTGACCTTGGAGGTCTCCCCCCTCATGCGCCAAGCTCAAATCTGACTCGCTCACTTATTCTTAGGATTGCATGCACATCCGCCTTGTCAATAAAGTCTGATTGGCAAAATTTTCGGAGAAAAGAATCATCTCTGTCACAGCCTTGTGTACTTGTCTTGAAGGGCGTAGGCCCGAGTCTTCCTTTTCGTACCTCCCTTTGACTCAAGATGAGCCACCCAGACCTCGGCATTTGGAGTCTCAGCGTGGTGCTACAAGTACAACTATCATATCTTCAGAAAAGTTGGAAACCGAAACAATGAGGACTGGAAAGCATTTGACGATCGTCATTAAAATTGGTAAAGACGCTACTTACCCGTGATGCCCTATCTATTTGGGAACGTCAAAAAGAAGAGGTCAACAAGGACGAGGCTTACTGTGGTACTGGCGATAGGGACTTCCTCCATTGTCGACGAGACCACCCACGAACCCATCATTTCGATTCTCGCTCAGATTGTAGAGACGGCCGTCACTTTAAGGCGAGATGGGCATCGTGTCGTCCTTGTGTCGTCCGGGGCCATCGGGGTCGGGCTACAGAGGATGAATATGCCCAAGAGACCGAAACATCTGGCTCAAATTCAGGTAGGTTGGCAGACGAGCCCATTTCTCTCATTATGTCTCTCAGTATCTCGAGATCGCCGATTTTAACAACAAGCTAAATCATGTCTTGTCAACTTCAACAGGCCCTTGCTGCTATCGGTCAGTCCCGCCTCATGTCGATCTGGGACTCCTTCTTTGCACATAGGAACCAGCCCGTGGCCCAGATCCTGATCACACGCAATGACATCGCCGACCGCTCTCAATATCTCAATGCGCAGAACACGCTCGCCGAGACCTTATCAATGGGGGTGATACCCATAGTCAACGAGAACGACACGTTGGCGGTGTCAGAGATCAAATTTGGCGACAATGACACTTTGTCTGCTATCGCTGCGGCCATGGTCCATGCAGACTATCTATTCTTGATGACTGATGTAGACTGCCTATACGACAGGAATCCCAGGAAGTTTGTCGACGCGAAGCCAATCCTCGTGGTTGACGACATCGATGCTCTACAGGTGGATGTCTCGTCTCGAGGGTCGGCGTTGGGAACGGGTGGTATGGCTACGAAGATCGTCGCCGCGCGACTAGCGACTGCCACAGGTACGAGCACGATCATCACAAAGTCTTCAAAACCAGGGAATATTGCCGCAATCATACGCCATCTCCACCCACCTGTAGAGGTCGATGGTGAGACTGGCACAATGCTTTCCGTACCAAGCATCCCGCCACCTTTGCATACACGCTTCCTTCCGTCCTCATCTCCAATCCGCAACCGCGCATTTTGGATCCTCCACGGCCTCGCTCCCCACGGCACACTCTACATCGACCGCGGTGCCTCCGTCGCGTTGGCGAATAAAGCCGGCTTGTTACCCGTCGGGATCGTCGATGTGGAAGGGACATTCGCTCAACAGGAAGCCGTCCGCTTGGTTGTCGTGGACAAGACACCACTGGGTAGCTTATCTCCCATGGGCAATTCTAACTCGATCTCCATGCAGTTGGTATCGAGGGAAGAAGAGATCGGCAGGGCGGTGGTGAACTACTCATCCGCGGAGATCGCGAGGATCAAACGGCTTAGAAGTTCTGAGATCAGAAATGTCCTGGGATATGCCGATAGCGAGTACGTTGCATACCGGGAGAATGTAAGTCTGCATGCGAGTGCCAGCGGCGATAAGAGCAGGCCGGACACTCCGAGTGGACCACGGACACCAACGAAAGAGAGAACGCCGGAAGCCAGTGTGGTGGACTTGAAAAGTTGGAAGGTCGAGTAAAATATAGAACACTATGGCCCGGACATTGTCGACTGCACAGACGATCATGTTCTCTTGGACGCGACCAGAGGCAGAACGAAGAATGAGTTTTGGTTTTGGTCATGGCATGGCGTCATAGGATCTGCGTATGCTTGGGGCATCTTGATACCGGAGACAGTAAGCAGGGGTGCATATCTATAGAGATGGTGTCAATGTTGGTCGAATATTTCCACTAGAAAGGAGCGGCTAAGTAAGTGATCGACAAATAGCGAACAAACAACAAGCCTCAGATCCGGCTTCGCCAGTGCTCGAGAGTGTCGAGGCAGTGCACAAGCCTCAGCTTGTGACCATCGCTTCGGCCCTAAGATACCCCGTACAAGTTTGATCGTACGAAATCCCGCCTGCAGCGAGAGAAAAAGTTCACAAAGCCGACACCTGAAAGGATTTCCAACAAGTAGCAGATCTCAGCAGAGAAAGCCAGAAAGAATCACCTTGGGATCTATACCACCAGAGACCCATCCGGGGCGGCTTTCGTGCTAAGTCCACATCGTTGCCTGCACGCCTCGAATCCATCCTGGCTTCCCGTCCCGATGGCCGGGATGCGCAGACCTGTGGCCGTCCAGTTCCCGCCGGTGAGGTTGATGAATGGCATCACCTGCGTACCAATGTCCTTCGGCATCATGAAGAACGCCTGTGCGATGTTCAATGTTGCTGGGTCGGCGTCGTTGAGAAATGAATAGAGCTGATTGTTTCCGCAGCCTGGGAAATCGTCAGGAAAAGCCACAGGCTCGTTTGGCACGAGAGTAGACGCACCCATATTGTACATAGAATGCACACTGGCCTGGGGAAAGATGGTCATCATGCCCGGGGTCAAGACTTGCTGTACCAGCCGTGCCCCATTCTCTTGCACCATGTACGTATGGGTTGTTCCACTCACTGCAACGACCAAGTTGTGGGCTCTATGCAAGTGTGGTGCAAGCATCGCGCATGGCCCGAGATTGAGCTGCGCCACCGTCGCCCCAACGGTGGAGAGCACAGGCCAGGTCGCTGCATTTGCGTTACAGACGCTACCCGGCTTCCAGGAATACACCGGGTTCGAGGAAAAGTTGTAGAGAAGCTGCTGGTCCGAAAGCATGTGGAGACGGTCACTCATGGTCGCCGCCATCTTCAAATTCGCAACCAATGTTTGATCCACCGTTTGGTCAGCGGCCAGAATGGGCAGTGGTGCGATGAAAAGAACGATGGCGGAGACGGATCCGATGCACGCTGAGAGCAGCATCGTAGGAGGTTTCTTGAGGACACAGATATAACTGATGATGAATGTGGCTATAGTTGTGATGAGGGCTGCTAGAAACAGGAAAGGCGACGGTCATGAAACCTGTGGATAGTCTCGATATCGGTCCAAATGCTTTGCTCCAGTACCGACAGTCTGGATTGGTCAAGCAGAACCAGAAGATTGGGTCTGAGCATGACACAGACATGGGTTCGATCGTTCTTATGTGCTTTTGCTTTCCAGCTTACCGCTGTTCCAGGCACTTGGATCCGTTCCACCGTTTTCTCCCTTTGAAACTCCAGGGACGTCAGCCTTCCGAACAGCAAGTCAGGCTCTGTGCAAAGTCGAAAGTTCGCAGTATTTCCTAAACTGGTGGTGGAGGTCCACAAGATATCATTGGGCATTTTCGTTCGTTGGTCCGCTTTGAGCAAGTCCATTCATTTGATACGAATTCGAGCACTCGCTTCCGTTCGCAACGCATTCCCACCGGATCAAGTCCTGCATCGTGGCCGGATGTCACCACCAACTCACATCACGGAGAGGAATGGTAGGGGAGGATGCTACCAATGTGCAGAGAAGGGAGCCAGATAACAGGAATCGGGCAGACAGCTATCCGGCGAACGGTGTGAAAGAGACGGGTAATCGCAGGAACGGGGCACTGTGCCCTTTTTAGGGTCAAAAATAGTAGAAGAGATTTTCGAGAAACCGGAGGTTATTGTGAGGCTCTGGGTCCGTGAGACGACTCAACGTAAAGGGGTGGGTCGAGGAGCAGCGAGGTAGAGAGAGGAGTATTGATTAAGTGGCAAAGCATGAGGTTCCTTGTCGAGTCGTCGACATCCTGGACAATCGAGCGGTAGCGGGAATCAAGATCGAGCTGGAAATCATCGGGAAAGAAGTGATGATTTTAAATCCTTTCTAAACCCACCATTGCAGAGGCTGTTTGACCAAAATTTACGCGCAGCTCGACATCGCACAGAGATGGCGATGGCCTGAAGCTGTACGCTCAGGATACGTTGCGAGACTTGGTTTCTGTGTGTAGCGTTGACGTGTTCGACATCACCAGAAATTGATGGTTCGGGTACTTCCCTTCATTATCACTAATCCAGTGCACCTGCCATGAAGGTCAGATAGTGCGAGGACCTATAGACAAAAAGTCGGTGAGGCTGTCAGTTGCTTCGAGTATCGCAGCTGATTGGAGAGGGTGTAGGCATCTCAACTGCTCGACAACTGGTGGCAGTGTAGCATTGAGCGAGTTTGCACGACGACAATGGGAATATTAGTCGAACTCCTACCCCAAGCACACCCTCGGTTGTGTGCCATGCGGATCTTGGACACTTGTAGCACAACAGGATCTCTGTGCATTAGAGGCAACAGCTTCCAGAAACATTGTTCGCCCTCTGAGAAGAGGTAATTGTCATGCAAGTTGTAACTCGCTTCCAGGACAAGGGCACGAAACGGGAGAGCGCATGAAGAGGCGAGGTTGGCATGACCGATTGAGATGGCGAGTTATTGTTTGTGCTTCCCCTTACTAGCTAAAAATGCGACAGAACCCAAGACCAGGACCTGCATATCAAGGCGTTATCCCGCTGCCAAATGTGCACATGGCAGCGACGCCGTTGACACCAAGTTGCGCCACTGAGTCAAGCGTTGCGCCAGTGCTTTGGGCCACAAATTCCACCTCTTTTAGCCTGCGTTGATGGCGATAGCCTTTGATCCTTTTACAAGGGGCAGTTTGTGTTGGCATGTTCTCCCATGGTCGATGCGGGATCCGATTCTTTTCCAGCAACATCACCTTACCACCTTGTCACGTAATGGCAGCTAGTCGGAAGAGGCTGGCGCAGGTGGCAGGGTGACCAGGGGCGGCCAGAAGGGGGGGGGGACTTAGGTTTTCAGGACAAGGAAAGGCTGAACGGAACTCGAAGGGCGACAGGCTTGATCAACCAGGGGAGGCGTGGGCATTCCCCCGCAAGGAACGATAGGCTCTCGGTTGGATGCAGGAGATGGCGGATTACCACGCTTTGACCTATGGTATCGAGAATGACAGAACTGAGAAGAGGTTTGGAGATTGCGCACCGCATACGAGGACTCATACGAGAACTCGTACGAGAAACTGAGGTTGATGAAGTGCTCGCCCGTCCGTTGTGGTGCTTTTCGAAAGACGCGCTAGAAGTCGATGATGGAAGTTAGAGAACGAAGTAGAGCCATTATTTGCCCAAGGAGAGAGGCAGGAGATAGCAGTAGCAAGGCTCCTTACCCGAAACAGCCTCCAACCTGCGCCAGGTGGGCTTTTCCTGGTAATGAGTGGAGCGGTTATGAAAATCAGGGGTAGGCACCGCCAAACAGCCCAAACAGTGTTTTTTTCGGGTGGTGGTTTGGCTGCTTTGGCTGCTTTTCGGGGGGGGGGGGGGGGTCGGAACACGGGTGGCTTGGACACTCACCAAACGAGTTTGGCGCATTAGACCTCCACCACTCTGTGGCCTGTGCCCGCAGGCCCGGTCCCTTTTGGTGCCTGCGCCCGCCTCCCTTGGTTCTATGGGGAATGGGACTTTTTGAGTTCTGCCTCAATGCACTACTGGAACTCGGACAGATCGGGGTCCCAAGTCGCCGTCAGGGATGAATTCACACACATCTGGCAAAGACTCAGAGAGAGAGAAACGACCACTACTTTCCACGAGCTGCTCTAGACACCAAAGAAGTCTCCCCTCTGGTTTCATACCTTGTTGTTGGTTTCGCTCGCCCTGCTACTGTTCTAGCTCTGTTGCTCAGCCTGCATCCTACCAGTCCGTTATCGCATCCCTGACCTCCTCGTAACTGGCAGCACCGCAAGGTGGATGCTCCTCTTCCCTCTTCGACCTCCTCGATCGATCCTTGCGAACAGGCGGCTATTGCTCGAACATCTCTCCCATTGAGTCCTCTTCAAAAAAGCGTCATCCGACTTTCAACACCTCGACTCGGTCGCCTGTGTTTCCATTCTGTTACTCTCAAGACACTAAATCCTTCAAGAATCCTCCATCACACCGCCCCCAAGCTCGCTTGACTTCCCAGCAGTCCTCGTTTGTCGCTACTTTCTCTCCGTCTTCGTCGTCCATCCGTCAGGAGTCAAAACGAGCCGGTGGAACCATATACAGGCCAAAAAAGCAGACACAGGTGAAGCGGGTGACTTGTTGATACCATGGCTGAGTGATTACCGCCATGTTCTGGTCTGAAGCGGAATCTCCAGTCGCCACAGTTGCTGAACAAGTTGATGGTCTAGAAGCCTGCACCCTTACACACTCTTTCTCTGTCGACCTGGCTCCTTTCAGAGGGGTGCTGTCCTGACTTGAGAAGCGCAGTCTGTGTCAAGAGCGGGAAACATCGCGAACACAGTTTCTGCCACGCACGAACTCTTCCGAAGCGCTTGCATTCCAAACTAGGCTGGCTCTGCATATAGACCCGATATCTCCTTGATTCGCCGGTCGCCTTTCCAACTGCAGGCAAAGCAGATCCCAACTGCAGGTACATTCTGCAGCAAAGCATTGCTGGCACATCTGCACCGGAGATCTGGATCCTGCACCCTGCCGTGTAGCCTGAGCCTTCTCCAGCAATTACGCTGCGATCAAGGTCGCTGGCTCATGCTATTTGCCCGACCCTCGTCATTCATGTACCAACATCAGCCCACCACTTGACGAGTCCAAGGCTCTCTGTTAATCATTAGACTCAAGAAGCAATGGACACATCTGGCGATTCTGTTGTCCATAACAACCGACGGTCGAGGTCGAATTCGACATCATCTCCAGCGCCGACTGTCAGGAAACAATCCACTGCTGTTGGCTTGCAACATCTAGATTCTCGAAATGTTCACCTGAGAACCAGGCCCAGGAGTCCAGAAAGCTCGATGCCGCTCACCAGCCGATTCCGCTACGATAGAAGTCGTTCACGAAGCCGCCCGGAAAATTCCCTGAGCCCGAACCTCAATATCAACCGCTGGTCGCATTCAACATCTTCAAGTGTCTCTGGTATCGAGGCAGATGCGATCCGTACACGCGCAAACACATCGCGACGCATGAGCATTGGCCCCTCGCTAGTGTCCTCTTCCGCACAGGGGAAAACCTCGATGCATAAGCGGAGATCGTCCAGCCAAAGTCCTCAGGCGAGACAGGGTTCGGGCTCAGCTTTTCTTCAGGTGGAGCGGACTCACGCTCTACGAGACACCAATCCAGTTGGTGTTTCGCCACACCTCACTCCCACGTCCATGTTTAACCCCAGCGCCGGGGAGTACTTTGGCGAGACCTGGCAGAGTCGGAGGACTGGCAAGAATGGGGAGGCGGTTGCCGTGTCTGTCCATTATATGAGAACAAGCCCACAGCCCACCATGAGATCATCCGAGAATGTTACAACTCAATACATGACACAGGCTACTCTACCAAGTACCCGTGAGAACCTCCCTACAACGAACGGGCGCGATGGATCGATGAATGATTCCGCTCCGCCGCATGTACCCACACGTGTCAAAAGTCATCGAAGTCCGACGCAAAAGACTATGCTCTCCAAGGCTCTGGCGGTAGCCAATACTGCTGTATTGCTTGACAATGCCCAGAACATTGAGGGAGCTATCGAGGCATATGCAGAAGCCTGTGAGCTATTGCAGCAAGTTTTGATCCGTAGCTCGGTCCTTGATGATCGGAAAAGGCTGTCTGACATTCGAAATGCCTACTCTAAAAGAATAGCCGACCTTCATGACCTTGACAATTCCTTTTCTGATCTGATGGAGAAAGCTTTACCTGAAGATCCTCCTCTTGATGAAACCAACAACTCTTTCTTCAGCAGTGACGGTATCGAGCCGGATACGACCGAAGTCCTAGAGTCTGTCCAAATCCCCCCTCGACAAGAATCTTTGCTACCGGAAATATTTGGCGGAGAATCCTATATCAACCAGGTGTCAGCCCGTAAGAGGATACATATCCCTAGTCTAGCGGTGCCTATGGATGCGCAGTATATGCCACCCCCTCTTTCGCCGAGAAGGCCCTCATCTCCCACAGTCGATGGGGACGCGAACACGCCTCTTGCGACTAGAAGACCAAGCGATGCTCCGACAGCTGCTCTTCACACTCGCGAAGGTAGCACCGAGTCTACTTCTTGGTTGGACACTCTCGAAGACGGCGACTCAACAACGTCTCGGTCCTCTCGACTATCGTCTTTGGATTTTGGAATCCAGAATAACCACCATATTGTCGACGACTTTGAAGCAGAGTTCGATGCTGCTCTTGACGCTGCCGTAGATGCTGCCTACGATGACAATTTGACAGAGGAGCCCACTCCGAGGCCGGATAAAAACATGCAGGATTTCAGTGACGATTTCAGTACCCCTGTCCCTCCTGCCTTTCAACCAGCCTCCAATGGCCATTCCCTTCTGTCGTCCGATGTCGAACTGACTCGAGAATATGATGAGGGGGAGTCATCAGAAGAAGAGGAACGATTGCTGGAAGAAATGACAAAAGGGTTTGTCTTTGATGATTTTTCGTTCGACAACAAATCGAAATCGGCACTCCCTCGACAGTCGGACTCCAGTACATTCTCAGGCAGAACCTGGACAAGTTCTCTTCCATCAACCACAGCAACAAATAACACCACTTTGAGCACTCTGGCAGAGTCACTGGAGTCGTCCGCGGAAACATCCCCTCCACCAATTCCCCCAGCAAAGGACTCTCCTTTGACATCTCCTCCAAAGACGGGCCTTTCCCAAGCACCGCCCATGGCTTTACCGGCTCAACCATCCAGCAGGCCAGTTAGTATTGAGAAGTATAGTGGACTGAATATTCGAGAAAGAAGATTCTCGGGTCGGAGTGGAGAGCAGCTCAAGATCGAAACCTTTGTGCGACGGAACTCTTCGACCATTCCCATCAAGCCGATCGCGGCCCCTCCGTCTGTTCCTGACATGGACGTGCCTGCAGAGCAGCAAAAGGCGTCCCAGACAGGCCCGGCAGAACCTATCGTTCCCTCCCTAGCACCCATAACGCCGATGACGACCTTGCCCTCGAACGATTCTGTTCAAAGTGAATCCCCTGGCACTCCTGCCTTGACACAGGGAGGTTCACAAGGCAGCATCGAGGACTCGGCAGCTATGCCGCAGTCGCCTGCAAAGACGGGAAAGATGGGACCCCCTGCCGCGGTCAAGAAAAATCTATCGTCATCGAGTTTGAGGGTGCGAAATTTGTCGGTGGCCACGACAGAAATTAGTGCAGAGTCACCAATCACACCCATCAGTGCAGGCTTTGGTGCAGACAGCAGAAAGGTAGTCCCGCCTCTACCGTCTGCTGCGTTGCCGACGCCATCGACGGCAGCTTTTGGCCCCCAACTGCTTCAGACAGGGGGAATGTACTTGTTCGATGATATCACTGCGACGGATCCCCCAAGGACACCACGTAGTCCTGATGCCCCCAGTGTATCCCCTCCTCAGCTCCTAGAACCCTGTCCGGAATCTTTCCTTCTCCGCCCTTTCTGGCTGATGCGATGTTTGTACCAGACGCTTGCTCATCCAAGTGGGGGATACCTGACCACGAAGCTATTCATTCCTCGGGATGTATGGAAGGTGAGGAATGTCAAGCTCAAAGCCCTGGATGATAAAGTGTCGCAGTGTGACCTTTTGACGGCTGCATTACTCAAAATTGCCAAAGTCGACACGTTTGATGCGGACTCGGTCCTCGACGAGCTACAGGCATTCGAAGCGGTCCTGGAGCAGGTTCGAAACACGTTGCAGAAGAAGATGGGCAACGATGTAGGCCTCTCAGGCTCATCTGGCCTTTTCAAGTCCGCAGGTGAAGACCACGAGACTGGGAAATCCAGCAGCACTGCGGCCAAATCTATTGCATCCAGCTGGCGCAAACTTCGATCCAAGTCGAGTACTCCGGCTATGGGAATTCTGAACGGGCAGAAAGACAGGCTATTGTCTGGTCCAACAATGGCGTCGTTACCCATGACTTCATCCTCGGCTGTAGCTTCTGCGCGGTCACATCTGAACCGCAAGATCGCACCGCCGCCGACCCCAACGCAGTTGATGAATGTTCAACCTGTCCACGCAGCCTACATGTCGAGCTTGGCACGTCTCTTTGACGCAGCCCAAGTGCTCGATGGCATTGCCCGGCAGGTGGAAGACCCTGGTCTGAAATGCAGTAACAAAACCCAAGTGGGGTTGGAGCTGGGTGTGAAGAATGCCGCCGAGTTTTTTGCGTTCTTCATCATTCGGTTTGTCATGGCCGATTTGATGCTGATGGTGGACAAGTTCCTTAAGAGAGGAAGTGAATGGGTCCTGGCTTGATGCGTACCGATTTGTGACGTTATGGGATGTTGGTCTGTAATGCTATCGATCATGATGTTGCAGATGATTGTATGTTGCCTTCCAGCGGCATTGGCGGTGTTGATGGTGCTTCATTGGTGTTTTGCGGGATGTTCTTGTTGCATTATGAGAAGAATTTCAGTCGCTACAGTATCTGGTTTGTCGTTTTACCATTGTTGCCATTGTGTTTTATGATACCACCCAGTGTTTGGAGGCTTAGGCTATGTGGAACAGCCTTCAAGACCAGCAGAAGGGGGGGCTTGGAAGGGGTAGATAAAGAGATGATGGGCACGTATATGTGGTCATTGTCTTAGGTAGACTGAGGAGGGGAGCGATGATGTTGGCGAGATACCTAGAGATCAGAGACCTTGCCTAGGATGTACCTAGGTACCATTTGTATGCAACATGTCTACCCATGTTATCCTTGTTACTGCGAGCCGTTGGTGTTTGCCCCGATTGACGGTCATTCGGAACAGAGAACAGCGAAGCCGCGTGCATCGACAAAGTCGTCGTAAAAAGTATCCACGTGAAGACGAGGAAGCAAGCACGCATGTGGTATCTCTTACACAATCCATAGAGCGCAAGAGAAGGTAGACCTTCCCAAAAGGATCAGGCTCGAGCCCAGCTCTCTGCATCCTGCTCTGAGCCTGCTATGTAGAGCTCAGGGAAGAGATCTCGAAGCACGTCGTCCACTTGCTGGTCGCTATACTGTTCCACTCCCTCCTGCACAAGTCCGACGCTATCCTGAGGGTGTCGTGATGACTCAATCTGTGCATCAGTCACCGGTGAATGGCGCTCGGTGTCATTCTGAGCGACACTTTCTGACCGCGACTGGCTTGGCTGGTTTCCTTCTGTCCCAGCTTCTGTCGCGTTGATGATTGCGTTGGTCATTTCGTGCGGTGACAATCCCTGCAATCTCTTGAACATTCGCTGAAGATGCCACTTGCTGAGCCGGACCTGGTCTGAGAGCTGCTGCAAACTTATTTTCTGCCCCCGAGAGGCTGTCGTCTGCACTAGATCAACAGCATGACGGATCTTGACCTGTAGAGGATCTTCCTGTTGTAATACTAGCAAATGAGGTTTGCAACGCCTGCACGCCCGGTATCCAGCTTCTTCGGCCAGCGGACCGTTGTCGTAAAAGGCAACGTTTGCCCGGCGCGCCAATCGAGCTTTGCAATCCGGGCGGCAGTATATTCCTGTTGTTTTGACGGCGTATACAAACTCTCCCACAGCCTCAGAGTTGCGGAAAGCTACCGCCGACCACCGAGCTGTTGTGCTTGAAAACCCTCGCGCCGACATCGAGCATCTATCAGCTTTAGAGTCGCAGCTTGCTGAGCGCGGACATTGTGAGCCCCAAGGAAAGCACAGGGTTTTGACGTCGGCTTGCGAGGTCCTCATCCTGATGGACTCTCGCCTGCTCGTTGCTGTCGTTGCTGTCGTTGCTGTCGTTGCTACACGTGCTGTAAGTTGCATCCCTCTGGTAGGATGAGACAGTGGATATTGATGCGACTTCTCAGAGCTGGAGCCTGGGATATCGCTCGTTATCTAGATCAAACAAGAGTCTTCCTTTGATTGGTGATAACTTGAGCAACTCGCCTGATAGGAACCATGCGTGAGCGTAGTCGGAGTGGCTCCAGAATATTTAGTTCCCTTTGTAAGAGTGGACACAACGTGCTCTGGCCCAACAATGGCACAGATTGATGAGGGAGGAACTTTTCTGGAACGAAAAAGGGCTGATGTTGTTCTCACAGGAGATCGGGGGCTCAACCGGAGTCAAACTATTGGCGGCGGAACGGACGCCTAGATCCTAGAGTTGCTGTAGAAGTGACCAATGACAGGGATACATGATATACCTTCCCGCGTTATGCTGACTGCTTTTGCTGCAGAAAGGACGCCATTACGCTTCATACCGATTGCAAAATTGTGCTCTCAATGATACCGATGTCTCGTACATTAAAAATCCGGTTGTATACGCGCGGTTGCCATGAGTCATCTCGACCTCGACCGATGGGTATAAGAAGGGGCACTGTGGTCGAGGATGAGAAGTTGTTGCACGACACCACATCACCTCGTTGGGCTAAACATTGTCTTGTCTAGATTGCAAAACACCAGTACCTTCTCGTTCATCCCAGTCGACATGACTCACGAAGAAATTTCGCCAGCAATTCTTTACTGGGGCACGCCAGTGGTGTTGATCAGCACCACGAACCCCGACGAAAGTGCCAACATAGGCCCAATGTCATCAGCCTGGTGGCTTGGGCACGGCTGTATGCTTGGACTCGACGCTTCTTCCCAGACCACACAGAATATGCTTCGCACCAAGCAGTGCGTGTTGAATCTTGCCTCGGACAACATGGCAGCGAATGTCAATGCATTGGCTCGAACGACCGGCACCGACCCAGTCCCATCCTCGAAGCAGGACAGAGGCTATGAGTTTGTCAAAGACAAGTTTGGGTGCGCCGGGCTCACATCTCTGCCTTCAAAGAAAGTCGCTCCTCCCGGAATCAAAGAATGTCCCGCTGTCATGGAGGCGGAAGTGGTGGCGGTGCATGAAATGTATGGAGGAAGGGCGGTGCAAGGTCTCGTGCTCGCGATCGAGGTCAGGATTCTGCGAGTCAGCATTCACAAGGAACTCAGACTCAATGGCTTTCGAAACCGTGTCGATGCGGACAAGTGGAAGCCGCTGATCATGATGTTTTGTGATCTATACGGGTTGAAGGACGGGAAGGTGAAGCAGTCAAGACTTGCAGAGATCGAGGAGGAAATGTACAGAGGATTGACTGAGACGACAGGAGAAACGGACGATGATGTGGACGACAATTTTGGAGAGCATGTCGTCGGGCTGACTGCTTCGCAACAATAGAATATCAACGGGTGCAAGAGGAATGTCGAAAGTCCATAGATTGCATGCTCAATAGATTGCGAAGACCAATTCTGGTCTACCAATATTCTTCAGGAATAAGTAAGACCACTGAGGCTTTGCGAGTGTGATCTTCTGGGAGTCTAGATCTTATGTTGTCAAAACATCTTACCACTTGCACAGACTCCATGTGCTCTCCCAGTCTCTCGCTGAGGCAATGCAATGGCGGTCGAGTGGGTTCGTCAAGCTGCGACTAGGAGTTCAAAGAAACTGGTGCCAGGCCCAGTGTCCGGAGATCTTGATCCCAAGCTGTCGTTTCTCGTGGTCTTAGCATCACCCTTCGTCTTGCCAGCTAGGAGCATCATCATTTGTGGTCCCGAAATATACCTTGACTGAAGTAGGCTGTAGGAGATTCCTTGGTCAGTGGCAGCCGAAATGGTGGGCGTTGCATGTCGAAGAAAGGGAGGGCAGCTTAGTCTCGGCCTAGAGCTGTAGGGAACTTGCCAGCTTCAAGACGAGGTCATCAGGGTGAACACCGATATCCTATCGGGTGTGATTGTGAGAGCGCGAGAGTTGTTGAAGCAATGCATTACGGTGCCTGGGTGGAAGTGGCAGGGATAGGAAGTGATGCAGCCGCAGGCTTAAACATGCTGCGCCAAATGTACCTCTGACATCGCTGGCCCAGGTCGAAATTTTGGCGGCCATGAGCAGCATCTGTCGCTATCAGTGGCTTCATCGTAGGCTGCATCGGTCGAAGTCTGTTACACGCATCGTTCGACCCTTCCCCTGTCAACCTATCTGACCACTCGTGGACTAGCCTGGTCAGAAGTTGCAGGAAAGGTCAAATGACCATATTCCTTTATCCTTGTCTGCCTCAGTTGCACCTCGTTCTGATTTCACATTCCGCCTGCGTAGGCCTGCAGTGCATGTCCACGACCCAATCAACTTACGCAGACATCTCAGATGTGATATACCATGCAGCGGACTCATCTGATGGTATTGAGGAAAATGGCTGACGTGCACCAACAGACAAGCCTGATTATTCGATGGCACACATCCACGACTTCCTCTTCATCGTCAGCCGGACCCCGATTTACCAGATATCCAACCCCCCTGCTTCCAGCGGACAGATCAAACTTGAACTGGACAAAAGACGCAAGCTCTCATGTGGCAGTGTCTGAAGATCTTTACGACGGACCATGCTTGTGGGGTAGCCTGTACAAGACAGCTTGCTTGATGGTTCGGAGTGCGACCGTCCATCGTCAACAAGCGCTAAACCCATCATCTCTCCGCCTTCGTGTTCAACCGTAACACAACGTATGATAGCCCGACAGGAATAGAACTTGGCTGGGCTCAATTGGAAGTCGACGACCGTTAACCCTACGTTACTGGCTTAGAGTTTCGCAACGGGCGAATGAATCACCTTCGTGCGGCATTCATTTCTGAAGAGCAGCCTCTCTACCAAGAGGGTTTCGACGTCATTCTGGCTGCGGCTTCACGTACCAGAGACATGGAGGAGTTGTGTCTCAAAATGACGTGAGTCCTGGTAAGACTATCGCCGCAAAGACCTCGGCAGCAAGTCAAACAGGTCTACGTGTCGTGCTGTTGCAACTTTCTCTGCACGGAAAATACGCTGCATCTAACCCACACCATCGGCATCAACGCCTTTGGGGGACTGCGAAAAGTACGACATGACCACCCCGCTCCAAACATTCCTGGCAAGAAGAGGCGGTCCACCTGACCCTATACCCCCCTGCAAATACGAAGAGCTTCTCCAATGGACGCTTGGTTGATCTTGTTTGAGATCTGGGCATCTTGTGGCATTCTGTGATTAGGTTTCCTTCACCCGAAATGCTCTCCCTGCTGAAACGCGGGGTAGTGTGTATAACAGCTCGAGGTCATCCACCCTGCCGGACCTACTGATCTTTGCATGGGCCGATCCTCCTCCTCTTGTCTTAGGTCAACAGAAGTCCAGGCAAACAAAACAATGCTCGAAGTATACTGTGACCCTTGCACGGTCAACAGCCGCAAGGTTCTGGCAGGCCTCGACCTCTTGGGCACCCAATACCACTTCAACCATATCGACTATTTCACCAACGAGCACAAGAGTCCCGAATACCTGAAAATCAATCCACATGGCACTGTGCCAGCTGCGGTTGATGGGGATCTACAGATCACTGAGTCCAATGCCATTCTGCAGTACGCCGCAGATGCGTGTGGCTCGATGTATCCGAAAGACCCCAAACAGCGATGTGCTGTAAACCGCTGGCTTCTGTGGGAAGCCTCAGTCTGGTTTCCCAGCTGCTACATATATCTGGTAGAATATGTGGTGAAGCCACTTCTCCAGGCCGAACCCGATCAGGCAGCCATTGATGCAGAAGCACCAAAGTGGCACAAGCATGCCGCCATCCTCGACGAACAGTTGTCTAAAACCAAGTGGCTTGCTGGTGACGATGTCACCATCGCCGATATTGCCATAGCCGCTCCTATGCACCTGCATGCCGCCCAACGCCTGCCGCTCGAAAAGTATCCCCACCTCACGCGCTGGCTGACGGACCAAGTCGAAAAGCTGCCTCAGTGGCAAAAGACCCAAACCGCTGTCGACAGAGCCTTGTTGCCAGGTAAGGCTACCACTGCCAATGGCACAGCTACATTTACCCGCGCTAATTTCAACTACACCAAGGACGTTGAACAGCGGACGGAGCTTTATTTCTACGAGTGCGAAGCTGCAAAGGATATCCATGAGCCTGGGGATGATCCGCACGAAATGACTGTGACGGACGGATGGCACAGAGCCGACTCTTTCTCTGTTGACAAGGAAGGATTCTCGCTTAGCCACTTCAAGACGGGATTTGAAACCTGGGAAGACGAGGCTTCAGTTCGCGAGCAGTTCTACCCTGAAATAGTGGAATTCTTGAAGAACACCACAGGCGCCCTGCGTGTGCTCGTCTTTGACCATACTATCCGTACGCAACGGAATGAAGCCAAGAAGCTGACCCAACAGACGAATACTTCGCAGCGTGCACCGGTCATGCTGGTGCATTGTGATTACACTGCCGAGTCCGGTCCTGCCCGTGTCCGCCAGCTATTGCAGGATGAGGCTGAGGACCTCCTTTCTCGACGCGTGGCATTCTTCAACGTATGGAAACCACTTCACCACACCGTCGAGGAGCGACCATTGGCCATGTGCGATGTCTCTTCGGCTCCAATGGAGGACTTCTTCAAGCTGTACCTCCAGTATCGTGATCGCGTTGGCGAGAACTATGTCATGCGCCATTCACCCAACCATAAGTGGTGGTACTTCCCCAAGATGACGCCGGAACAGGTGATTACTCTGAAGACATATGACTCTGAGACGGACGGGCGTGCTCGGTTTGTAGGGCACAGCGCATTTGAGGATTTAAACTCTGCCCCCAATGCACCGATCCGTGAGAGCATTGAGATCCGTACCATCGCTTTCTTCTGACAACTTCACTGGCCGGGGATGGGGTCCAGATTCAGATATGTAGCTGTAAAGGACCAGCTGCAGTCTTCTTGTGGTAGCTGCGTAATTCCGGAACTGTGTTTTCTGGCCAAACAATTTTTTCAACCCCTGCATTCACACACATCCTCAGTCTGTCTAATGCACCTAGTGATCGATTTCATCATCCTCAAGTGGGGTTAGTCCCACATGTGCGAGACCAAAGGTCGGAACGATAGAGCAGCAGGAAATCCATCGCCTGCGCCTAATTTGGACAATTTCACCTCCACTTCTCCACATCTTGGGGGAAGATGGAGGATGGCTGCCATGATCTGATGGCCGAGGGCGTGATGGCACGGATTGCCTCTCCACATGGGCAAAGAGTCAGTAAGTATATATTGTGTCTGATCCTGCGGGCCTGGGTCATGGGTTGATATGTGACTGATTGTCTTGTGACTTGGGTTGAGCACGACGTATCACTGCCACGTCGATTCTGGCAACATGTCTTCGTCCTCCAGTTCAACGGCTTTGCTACCGCAGTATCCTGCCACGTACTCGGGAATCCCAGAGAGACTATTGAACAAAGCAATTCGGGAGAAGTCAAGACTGTGGGAAAACCAATCCAAGGAAGACCAGACCCCCAGGAAAAGAGACTTGGCCATCCCTGCTGGTATTGGCCGCTCGGATTTCCTCAAAGCATTGGATGATTTGGCGAAAACTCTGGGGGAGGAGCACGTTGTGTTGAACGACAAGCCCCTTGAGGATGGATGGTGAGAAATATGATGGCCGCTCTTTTGTACCGTCGTGGTCAACAGCTGACTTTCTCTCAAGGTATTTGGAGCGTACGTTGAGATTGTCCTCAAAACCCGGCAGAGGTTGATACGTTGATCAGATCCCAATACGCACGATTCCTACATGATAATGGACGCCGAAGAGACAGTGTCGTCAGCTTGCGTCTACCCAGGCAATGTGCAGGATGTTCAACTTGTGGTGAAGTGGGCAAATAAACATCTTGTCCCCCTATATCCAATCTCTATGGGACGAAACCGTACATGATGCCTACTTTATTATCTCCTTCCGCCGAGCCCTCGCTGACGGACTTGACAGTGGGATATGGAGGTGCCGCACCGCGCGTGCGTGGCTCACTTACCGTCGACCTTGGTAGACGAATGAACAAGATCTTGGATATTGATCCAGATGACTGTACCTGTCTGGTTGAGCCGGGTGTTTCATTCTATGCTCTGTACGAGGAGATCAAGAGGAAGGGATACACCATGTGGGTGGATACGCCCGACCTTGGGGGAGGCTCAATCATCGGCAACACTCTCGAACATGGAGTTGGCTACACGCCATATGGAGATCACTGGTCGACTCATTCGGGGCTGGAGGTAGTTCTTCCCACTGGTGATCTGCTCAGGACAGGCATGGGGGCTCTCCCTGGCAACAACACCTGGCAGACATTTCCTTATGGATTTGGGCCGATTTCAGAGTATGGCGGGACCCCGGATGGATATCCCATATGCTGACGATGGGTTGCAGTGGGATCTTTTCACAGTCGAACTTTGGAATAGTCACAAAGATGGGTGTTGCTTTGATGCCAGATCCAGGCGGCTGCGAAAGCTTCGTGAGTGACCTGGGCTTCCTGACCTTGACCTCTCGTGGGCCAACTGACTTTCAAAGATGTATACGTTTCAGCGGGAAGATGACCTGCTGCAATTGGTACGTTGAACCTCCCAACACCACACATGAAAGATAGCTGAACATGACGCGAGATCGATATCGTTCGACCTCTGAGAATCGCCAACTTGCTCGAGAATGTCGCCCAAATCCGACACAGCACCGTTGAGTTGGCAGTCTCCGGGCTCCCACGATCACATTATTATCAAGGTACTGGCCCTATACCGGAGGAAGTGCTGCAAGCCCATCTGGAGGCCACGCCGCTCGGGCGGTGTTCATGGATATACTATGGGACGTCGTACGGGCCTGAAAACATTCGGAAATACAAACTGGACATTGTCCATCGAGAATTCACCAAAATCTCCGGGGCTAAAAGGATTGACCCTGACACACTGCCCGAGGACCATTATTTCTGGTCACGGGCCAAAATAGCCGGGGGCGAACCAGACTTTGAAGAGCTATCGTACATGAACTGGGTACCTAACGGCGCTCATTTGGGATTCAGCCCTGTGTCGCCGACTCGAGGCTCGGACGCGCTGAAATTATGGAAGATAGCCAAGACGAGGCACGACGAGCATGGAGTCGACCTCTTTATCGCATTTTGCGTAGGGTTGAGAGAACTCCACATGATCAATCTCATAATCTATGACCGGAGCAGGCCCGAAAGGAGAAAGGCTGTCGAAAGCTGCATGCGCTTGATGATCGAGGATGCAGCGAAACAAGGTTACGGAGAGTATCGGACCCATCTTCTCTTCCAGGACCAAGTCGCGCGGACATACAGCTGGAACGACAATGCTCTCATGAAGTTCAACGAGAAACTCAAGGATGCCCTCGACCCCAATGGCATCCTTGCCCCGGGGAGATGTGGTATTTGGCCAGAGCGTTACCGAGGACGAGGTTGGGAGATAGGCAAGGACGGGAGGGAGACTTCCGAAGGGGACGGGGTGCGACCGGGGGGAGCAACGTGAAGCTATGATGGCGGGGGACGAGCGGGCTATTAGGCTTCTCCCTGCCGAATTGAAGCCTCTTGTCAGGACCAAGGCAGTCCTTGTAATGGACAAGTTGTGGAGGATGGACACCCAGTGCATGTATGTAGGAGCAAACCTGAACCACCGTAGCTGGAGTTCAGAAGATGAGGAGGGTAGACTCTCCTGAAATCGATCCGAACGAGATCACACACCGTATTCGTCGGCGAGCTCGACCCAAGCGTCGACGATCTTGTCGACATCACTCTTCTTGATAGGAATGCGGTGAGGCCCGTCCCATTCAATCAGCGTCGTCGTCCCCGGCGCACAGTAGTTTTCGACCAGCTTCCTGTGGAGATGGAGACCTTCGTCCCTCAGGCCGTGGACGTGCAGAGTCGGGATCCTCAGCTTCATGTCTGGGCGCTCGAGGATGCTCTCGACGTCGGCTGCGTCCGCCAGGCCACCTGCGGACTGCATCCATGGTAGTTCTTCCGCCTCTTCACTCAGACTGACCAGCGGTGCCCGGCCGGCGAGGATGACGGCAAACTTCCACGGCCCGGGTTTCTCCTTGAGTTGCTGGTCGTACAGGAGGCTCGCCGCCAGTTTGGCGCCCTGGCTGAAGCCCAAGGTCGCTACCCACTCTCCCGTGCCCTCATCACTCTCCATGCAGCGGTCAATGGTGTACTCTAGCTCATATTGACACGCGGCCGGCTCGATCTCTGGGTGAGACTCGAGCCACCGGAACCATCGCCGGAATGGACCCCAGTCCGAGTACACGGGAACGACGCCGACGCCTTCGTCGCAGAAGAAGGGCGCATCGACGAAGACGAAGCGGTATCGGTTCTTGAGCTTTTCGTGGCCCAGAAACGCGCGGAACTGGTTCTTGAAGATTGCTGCGTTGACCCCACCGCCGTGGATGCAGAGGATGCGTGGTAGATGCAATGTGGGATCGGACGAAGCCATGGTGTTTGGGATACTTGGTCTGTTTAAATGTGTCAATGTGCGGAGATTCCGCTGAAGGGTTAAACCAGAATCGCCTCTCGGAGAATAGGTAGATACAAACCCGAGGCAGTGGAGAACGCACCCGTATTAATATTATGTACTCGGCCCTCGCTACACTCGCCGGGTGCTCGCTACCTCACTCGAGGGCGTAAGGCCATCACCATATTGGTGACATTGTGGGTTGGTCTATAAATACGCAACGGACCTGGGTCGTTTTCAGCCTCACTTCGGCCTCTCCAAGGTTCCGACTTTTAGCATCCAGACTCTACCCACCATATCCGCTGAAACCCTTGCCACCAGCAGCTCGCCTAAGGGCTTCCATGCCGTACCTCTCGGTCTCCGAACGCTTACCGAGTACATCGCCAGATTGGTGAAAGGCACTGTCTGAGCTGGAGGCGTCGCCACGTGGCTTTTGTCCAGATTCTCATCGTCGACAAAGCGTTCGAAACGAGCCCGTGAATATCTAGAGACCGGATTTAAAGACACAAAGAATGCTGCTCGAAGGAGATATGCATTTAAGTACCCGCAGGTGTTATAGAGTCCGCCGCCATAACCTCGTTATACAAAAATTCATGCTTCGCTATGCATTGAAGTACTGAGGTCCTGTCCACTTCTGGGACATCTCCCTGGTTTATCTTTGTCCGCCAGTCGTCCATCTTTGCTCCGGCCACGAGCCGATGAGACACGCGCTCGTGCCCTATCGAGCTCAACTGGAGACATCTGGCCAAATTGGACACTGCTTTCAAGTCTTTCGTAGCGCCTCTCGAAAATGTCCGCACCGTCAAAGGATACACTGGATGGAAACGGAGAGGTCACATCCAAATTGCCAATACTAGCAATCTCGTCATCCCATGCAGCAGCAGCCGCAACGTCAATGGAGGCCAGGCCTGGTCTGCTGTACAGATAAGGCTCGCGGATCTGCGGGGAGGTGCCCAGCGACGCCGAACCGGGCACTGCTGGAGGTGCCGTGGCATATGATGCGTTTGATTCCTTGGATGTATCGCGTGACATGGGCTGTGAGCTGTAGCCACCAGGAAACAGCTTCGCAGAGAGGCGACCTTCAACCTCTTGTCTCAGACGAGGCTTCAGCTCGGAAAATTCAGAATGTCGCGACAGCGAAAGGTTCTCGTCCATCGGGATTGAGGGAACCATCTTTGTTGCCACTGGATTGTTCAATGCGGTGTGTATCAGTCGGGGTGACGACGGCGGATGCCTGCTGTGCTTTCGAGCGATATCGAATGAATCGTAGGCTGGAAGAGACTGACTCGGCAGAAACTCTGTGACCAAAGGTGACATTTTCTGATTGGGAGATCTAGTGGACAGTGGCAGGCGTGCTTCGTCCAATGTTGGCCTGATACACTGTGGACGCGTAGGTGATTTTATTCTTCCTCCTCTCACAGGAGGCGGGCTGGCGCGGTGGATGGCCGCGAGAGCACCCGATGCGTCAGAGCCTGTGGAAGTAGGCCTTGTCGCAGTCCGATCGTCGCTGCCACTGGTGAAGGATGACGCTCTCGAGCGAATCTGCGCCTGTTCGTGGGAGAGAGTGGGTGGAATCGGTATAGGCTTCCACTCTCCAAGATCCTTCGGTTTTTTGGCCGGGTGAGGTCGCCCTTGGAAGATCGCTTGGAGAACCGAGGATTGACGGGCAGTATTGAAGCTGGCCTCCGTAGGCGTCGTCACGTCCATCTGAGAATCGCTTGGACGTCGGCTTCGGTTCATACTCGGAATCAGGACCTTCGAGTTGTCCATTCCAGATTGCGACCATCTCTCTGTCCAGCTGCCCTCGGACCCGTCGTCATCCAAATCCAACCCAAGATGCATCTGGACTGGCGATTCAGTCTGATCGTCGGTAGGTTCGGGCGTCCAGGTGGATGCCCTGGTCAAAGCACTGCTTTCAGTGGCGGGACTGTCTGAAGAGGTGCTGCTGGCCCGCTCAAACACCGAGAATTGTACTCGGCGATTGAGGCTGTCAACGGATTGTGACGGAGACTGCCTCTGGATTTCCTTCTTAATCAATCGGATAGTTTCGTGAAGGTTGTGCCTTGTTTTGCGCAGCGTCGGCGAGGCGTCGGCAGATGATTTTGGGAAGTGTGACCAAAGCCGGGCCGCCTGCGTCTCATAGTCCCGATAGTCGCGAACAAGACCTCGCCCTTCAGTGCTCTTGATTTTGGCATCTGCGACCATATAAGAGTGACAGATCATTTTCGAGGCGACGCAGAGCCACCACCAGTAATGTGCTGGTTGATCTGCATATCGAAGCTTCAGCTCGTCCCGGAGCACATTTTGCACGACGCTGTGAATGCGGAGAATGTCGATGCTGTAGGTTATCGAATGGGAAGATGACCCGTCCAACATGCTCTCTGTATGAGCCGCGACTAATCCTTCGAGGCTGCTGGAGTCATCCTTGAGCAGTCTTGGTTTGATTCGCTCTATCTCGCCGGCAGTCCCTACTGCGCCAAAGGTATCGGCAGTGTTGGCTCGTGGCCGTCTAGAGTCGTCTGGCGCGAAAGAGCTTTTTGATGGTGTAATGCAGTATTCAAGTAGGGTCCGTTCGACCAATCCGTAGCGTATGAGAACGGCGATGGTGTTGTCTAACTCTTTCTTCATGCTTCCTATCTGTTCAACAGAGCGAATTTCAATTCCAAATTCCTGCAACAAAGGTTGTCCAAAGCGAATCAGAGTCACTGGTATCACGTGCGCGAAAAAGCTCAGTAGTGTAACCAGGTGGACGGCCTCAGGATGCGAATGCTCTCTTAGCGATGAGATAATGTCCAGGTACGGATCAGCGAGTCGATGATCTGAAGTTCCGGGACTGAACTTCTCCAGTGATGTGCCTCTGGCAATTAATGCGTGGGCGGCGGCGTGGATGGCAAGTGGTAGACATTCGTAGTGTTTCACCAACTGCATAGCCTTTTTCGCCTGCAGTTCAGTCGGTGATCTGATCCCTAGGTTTTTGTAGAGAAGAGCACACGCGTCGTGCTGTGACAATGGGAACACTTTGACGCCGGCAGGGTTGAGCAATCTCTGCCGCTTCGCCAGCGTGCGATCCACCGACGTGTAGATGATGTTGTTCCCCGAGCGGTCCGGAATGTAAGGGACCAACGCTCCAATGTCCTCGTCATTGTCCGTCGTCACCCCGTCAAACACGAGTAGCCAGCCTTCTCGAGATTCGAACCATTTCCGCACCGTGTCGACAAACTTTGACGATTCATCCCACCCGGGGTCTCGGGGTTCGTCGTTGCCAAGTATCGCAACAGCCTGAGCAATATCCCAGAAACTTTTCGAGCGCGATTCTTTGGTCTTGGAGTCGACCCAGAAGCAGCCGGCCGGATACTCGCTTTGGTGCCGCCACAGATGTTCTCGTGCAATCTGGCTTTTACCACAGCCCGGCGGTCCCCACAGCAAAACGGCACAGGTCCCTAATGCTCGCCGCCTCTGGTTTGCCAGCTTTTGAGCAAGCTGGTCCATTTCCAATTGAAAGCCAAGAAAAATTGAATTGGGGCGGAAGCCCACTGGAGCAACAACTAGCGAAGAAGACGATGATAAAGTCAAAGATTGTTCAGCCATTCGGATTGAGCTTATAGAGTCCTCTGTAAACCACCATGAGTCAGCGTCAACGAGCTCCATTCTGATCACTGACCAAAGCTGGTTGATCAACGAGGTGCAGTGACGAGATCGTCCTCGACCTCTTCAACCTCATACTGGGGTGAAGTTGACGCGGAGATCTGTTTGGGAGGAGGCGCACTCATTGAATTTGACTGGATTGTTTGCGCAATCCCAGAAGGTGTAACTGCGCCCAAGGCTCCTGCGCTCGTCTGAAAAATGCTATCTATCCAGGGAATTAGCATTGCTACGGACGAGACTTGTGGATTCACGTACTCACCACCCAACAATTCACGTGCAGCTGCTTGCCTTTCAAATTCGGCGACTCGTCTCTCTTCCTCCCAGCGTGAGTGGATGAGCGACTGGGACGCAGTGGCGTATCTAGGGAGAAGTAAGCACGAATCGTTCGTCTCCGATACTTGCTCGAGTTACCTCTGAACAGCTTCGGCGACGACATCATAGCCTGGGCTTGATTCATCTTCGAACTTGCACATATGGCTAGAAAAGAAGTGAGAAATCTAAGCAATTGTGGGAGTGAATAGGTTTGGGGTCCTTCTTACCTGTGATCCTTTTCAATTCCCATTCTTTCGACACCTTCAATGACAGGAGCGGCGGAATCTTCCTCCACGACGAATGATCGGGTACCTTTTAGATCGGTAGGCTTTGACTCGTGGAAGAAGTAGATGTGAAAGCGGCTAATTATTTCAATGAAAAGCCTATTGATATTCTGCAGCGTCTCGTTGTTGGTCTGCAGCGCCTGCACCAGTTGAGGAGACGTATCGAAGAACTTCTTCGGAAGTGCGACAGCACAGATCTTCTCGAGCAAGGAGCCCCATTTGGCTAGGTCAGAGCCATTGTGAGGAGTTCCAAGAAAGAGAATTCCATATGTGCTGACGTAGATTGATCGAAGTCGTTCGGTGTGTTGGTGACGTCGAATGCTCTGGCAGTATATCAAACATCTCTTGACTACCAAGCCTCCGAGGGAATGACAGATGAAGATGATGGGCCTTTCGGTGGCTTTCCTTAACTGCTTCTTCTCAGCTTGTGTCCGTTTGAAGTGTTCCGGCGAAGCTGGCCGTGTAACATCACCTAGAGTTCATGTTCCCCGCTTACCGATCTGTTGGCCACCAAGCGACTTGCAAGATGTTCTGCATGATTATGTATCTTGTCCTTTGACACGCCATCGGTAAAAGCGGTCACATTCGCGTCATACCCGTAGGTCAGAATTCGGGGTCTTTGGTCTTCAAGCGCCGCAGGGAGAAGGTCAGCCGGCCAGAAGACGTCGGGCTTCTTGGTAGACCAAGTATCGTGGGGATGCCCGTTCAATCCATGCACGAAAACGATGTCGACTAGAGGATCTGTCGCCGCGTAGACTTCTGTAAGGCCATATTGTACGATCTGCTTTCCAGCAGAGGTGCTCATCGTTCAAATGGCGTACAGCCGTCGCACATCGAGGGGAGTCAGGACAGCAAGCCAGCAGAAGCAGGAGAAGTAGAAGAAACGGATATGAAAAAGTACAACGTTCGGGCAAGAAACTCGCCCGCTCACCGGAACATATGTAGGCTGGAGAGAGGCATTTCAGACATGGTGGACTGGATCCAGGAGTCACAGTCACCGTCGAATGGAAATGGAGGGCGCAGGTGACTTGGTAGCCTGACGATGGCAGTGGTGGATGCAACCTGCATATTTCCCAGACAAAGAAAATTGACGTGTCCTTTGAAGATGAGGCAAGCAGATTTGGGCGGCTGGTCTCTGGAGTCTTAGACGGCTTAGGCGTTTCAGTCCCGTCTGTGATCGCTTGCTAAATCCTGGCATTGGGCATCTTGCCTTTCTCGGGGGCCATATTGTGGGGAAACTGCAGCCTCAGGGGGGCCAAGCTCAGCCGAAGGGGCCAAATGAATACCGGGAGCTCGGCTGCAGGCTCGAAAGCGGGTTTGGAGGCTGCTATCTACTTGATGTGATTGTAGCAATCAGTCTTGCAGGGTTGCCTATTTGGTCGTCCGTAGCGGTGTTTGTCACAAGATCTCCTCTCTATACCACCCCTCAGACAAAGCTACTTGAAGTCACACGGCCAGATTGAACATCAGGAGGTGTCTCGGGCAACTGTGGCAAGACAGGCAACCTCGCTGGGTCAGTTCGGTGCCTCATCTGCCCTTGAAGGCTGGCCTCCTCTTCTCTGCAAACGCCCTCAATGCCTCCATCCGGTCCTCCGTCTTCAGGATGACCTCGTAAGCTTCGTTTTCTGCGGCCTCTCCACGTTGCCACCCATTGACTGCACGCATTGCTTGGGTCAGGGCAATCGGCCCTCCATCGCAAATGTCATTGGCAAGCTGTAAACTGGCAGCCAGCACCTTTTGCCGTGCCTTTGCCTCCTCGTCGAATTCCTCCGGAGTAATCTCCACCAGTCTGTTGCACAGTCCTAGAAAGTAGGCTTCTGCACCGCCAACTCGTCGACCAGTAAGAATAAGGTCGCGTGCTCGGTTGATCCCAATCAATGCAGGCAGTCTGTAGGTCCCTCCTGCTCCCGGAATGATTGCCAGCTTTGTTTCAGGCTGGCCTACAACTGCAGACGATCCAAATACTCGAAATGTCGTGCAGAGCGCCAGTTCCAGACCACCACCAAGAGCAACAGAAGATATAGCAGAGATGGTAGGCACAATGAGGTTGGATAGATCGGTGAAGGTGTTGCGCATGTCTGTCAAGAATTCCCTAGTCCTTTATATTTGTGAGCAGGTGCAATCACTGAGACTCAAAAGTGCGTACTCTTCATGCGTCATCTCCTTTCTTTCCCTCAAGTCTGCCCCGGCGCAGAAAGCCTTATCTGTATTGGACGCGATGATCAGTGCCCTCGTGGGGCCTGTACCACCCTCGGCCTGGATCTCATGGACATGACGCTTCAGATCAGTGATGAGTTTGCGTGACAAGGCATTTCGAGCGGCAGGCCTGTCGAGGAGAAGGATGCGGATATTACCAGAATGCGGTGCTGGTTGGTGTTGGACTTTAATTGGAGAAGGTTCGGACACAAAAGCAAAGCGACGGGAATAGACACGAGGAGCTCGTAGAGTCGAGAGGGCGCGCCATGCTGAACAGGTTCGCATTATTTCGATAATTGCGTGCTGACATTGTGAGGAAAGGTGGGAAGAGATATTAAGTGCAGTATCGGTACTCCTCCTAGGGCGCAGGAAGTTCCGAGGTTGCGGGGAAAACCTCGCCGAGAGTGTTGACGGAGTGCTTGAGTTCTTACCTCAAGCTGCAAGGCCAACTGGCACAGTTAGCTTGGCTGACGCTGTGCCTGAGACGTCAATGATAGGAACATCAGCCCACGGTATCACTTCATGTCCAACATCCCTGACTTTGATGGATCAGTTACCATAGCTGACCATCTCTCACTGCAACGAGAATCAGAATCTACATATCCCCGACTGCGAATTGTCCTCACACTGCCAGCACCTCAACTATTTCAGTATGGACTACAGCATGCTGCATGATACTATTCTAGCCCTTGAGGATGCAACCTGGAGAGCATTAACATCCTCGGGAGCCGCACTACTGCCATTCCTCAGTCACGATTGTATCATGCTTTTCCCACTGGGAATGAAAGTGTCCGCTAAAACGACGCCGAATCTTGAAGATGTGATGAAAAGCGATGCGTTTGTGCCATGGAAGCAGTTCAAGCTGAGCGATGTGGAGGTTACACCATTGGGACCAGAGGCAGCCCAAATCAGTTATCGAGTGAACGCGACCAGGCGGCATGTGACGGCGGATGACGATACGAGACAGGACGAATTCAGAGCATTGATCTCGAGCACCTGGAGGAAAGATCCAGAGGCAGGAAAATTCCTTATGTGTGTTCACCAACAAACACCTTATGAGGAGGATCTGGACTTTTGACGGACAGTTGTTATGGAAGGATAAGGGAGCCACTGGGGGTTGGGTTTCATTTTGATTTGACTGTCAATCTTCAGGATGAAGCTGGGATTCGGATGCTTTGTCCGGTGACTTTTGGTAGGCATGTTTGAGGACCAGTTCGTTGATCAACTTCTACGGTATCCTCAACTTGGATCATGGTTCATTGGTCTCGTAAGTGGCATGTGAATTAGCCCTCGCTGCACAGTGACATCAGCCGCCCCAAAGATCTTTACGGCCATCGCGTTGCCTGGAGGACTTGCACATTCCCACGGATCTCCCGCCCGGGCGAGTCAGTGGCGTTAGCCCGCAGCAGTGTGGGGAAATTGAATCACCAGAACGGTCACATTTGTGACGTCTTTGTCGAGGCTGAAGAAGGTAGGATCAACAAAGTCCCCTCCAGGCATTCACGCCCGTCACTCATCATTCAAAAGTGCCTTCATTTCCCTGGGAACAGCACATTCTGCAATACGCCAAAGCGCTGCACCTGAAACCTACTTGTATTGAACATCTCACCAACACACGCTGCCAACTCCATCAATTTCCCTCAAAAATGTCTTTCCTCTACCAAACAACTCCCGTGCTTCGCACCGCGGTCCGATCATCTGCTGTGCGCTCATCACCTCGCCTCTTCACTACCACAGTCGTTCAGAAGAAGTCCGCTACCGACACTGTCAAGGACGGCCTCAAGACGGTCGACCGTGCCGTTTCAGACGTTGCAGTTGCTGGCATCGATAAAGGAGGTAGGTTGACCTGCGTCCACCGTGGATTTCGGCATAGCTGACTTCTTTCCAGTCGAGCTGAAAGATAAAGCCGCCGAAGTCATCGGTGTCGAGTCCAAGAAGGCTGAAGGCACTGCCTCTCAAGTGGCTGGTGAAGCCAAAGGAAAAGCTGCTGAAGTAAAAGGTCACGCAAAGGGCAAGGCAGAGGAAATCAAGGGGAAGATGTCGTGAGAAGCACTGCATGAAAAATGTTTTAGGGCGGGAACTAGATTCCATCACTTCATATCTCTTTATGCTGCTGGGGATAAAGTCGGCGTTTTCAATGTAACAATAATCAACGTCAACCAAGGCATCACTGAGAGGAGGTGCCAAAATTTATGTACATTACCAAAGTGCTGCTTTAATCAATATGTTTGACCCTCCTTTTGCGAGTCCTTCAAATTTGGGATTGGCTGTAAGATAGGGTTAGCAAAATGGGTTCGATACACTTCCTCCTCTTCTTGTTTCAACCCGTACTTGGCAGGATCGCGCTTCTCGAGAAAGTGTTTGACACGCCCCGTACCCTTGATGTCATTGTCTTCGAAATGATCCTTTCTAGATGCGAGGAATCGATTAGTTTCCTCTGTGAAAGCTTGTGCCCGCTCTTCTATCGATCCTGTGAATTGTCCTGCTCTCGTAGCCTGCAGTACTCCAGCGATTACCGCAAGGAGAATGACGACTGACGCGAAGGTGTTGGGGTGGAGGTATGTCGCTGGAGGTTCTTTGGGTTTATCGTATCGTCGATGCCACCGTTCCCAGTCTTCCCAAGTGGCATTTTGAAATATCGACGAATCATCATCTGGGCCGAATCCATATCGTTTGCCCTCAGGATTAGTATATCCATGCGAGTGTCTGGTGGCTGTCCTTGTCGCTCCCCATCCTGCGCCAGATACATCGTATGCCCTTCGCTTAGTTGGATCGGAGAGGATCTCATGTGCCTGAACCACCAGTCTATACCTCTCCAATCTTTCAAGGTCGCTCAGACTCCCACTGATGGACCTGTGGCTACTCTTATCGGGGTGATAGATCTTAACCAGCTCGTAGAATTTGTGCTTGGTGTAGACTGCGTTCTTATCCAAACCAAAGATCTCGTAGGGTGAAGGTGTAAAAGGAGAGCTCCGCCGGCAGGGCCAGTTCATGTTGTCTCGGAACTCATACCCTCGGTCTGATTTGACGTCCGCATAAGTCCTGGCCTTTTGGGAGAGGCGCGGCTCTCGCTTCAGCCGCTTTCGTGGAGATTCAGGGCATGAAGCGCAGACACAGCATTGCCAACTGTTGTAGGCCGCTGATAGCCTCACCTGTTTCAGTATCATTGATGGCATTGTGAATGTTTCGCAGACGGAGTAGATAAGGTACTATTGAAGTGGCCATGCGATTGCGGAGGGGGAAAGTCTTACATGTCATCGCACCCAGGTCTGTGCCTCTTTGGAAGGTTTGCCGGTTTACTGAATAATACTGTTCAAGACAAGCACGAAAAGCCTCATCCTGACCCCATTGAATATACAGCGTCGTCGGTTTCATGCACGCCACAAAGATGCCGCGTTCGCCATCACCTCGTCGAGATGACTCTCGGAACAGGAGTCATCATCGGCAGCAAGATAATAACCGCCAAGGACGGGAACACCGCAAAGATGAGAGGAAACGAAATTCTCGGAGCCGCGATCGAACTCGCAGAAGACCATCAAGCTCGGATGGACAGAGGCAAAGAAAATATAATGATCGTAGATCGCGGTCGCCTCAGACGCGGCGTTCACCAGAGAGACTGGCACGTGCGAGAGGCTCTCTGCCATCCCAAGCCGACGCATTCCATACTACCAAAGACGGTGCGCCCACTCCAACAATTGAAAAGCAGAAGCCAAACTTTCGGCCATCTGGGCTTTTGGCTGCAGCCTCGAACACGATTTCAACATCCGCCGGTGCAATTGTTTTGAAATACCATGAACCACCAGAGGCTCGAAAACCGCCTTCTAACCAACCTTGGCGCCTGTACATCTTCAAAGGCGAATCGATTGTCGACACGCTGGATTTGTATACCCAATCTTGCTGGCTCTTCGGAAGGGAAACTTCTGTCTGCGACTTCGCACTTGAACATCCCAGCTGCTCCAAACAGCATGCCGTTATTCAATTCCGTTATGTGGAAAGGAGGAATGAGTTTGGCGATAAGATTGGGAAAGTGAAGCCATATGTGATCGATCTGGAGAGCGCTAATGGCACGACGGTCAACGATGAAGCTGTGCCGGAGGGAAGGTTCGTCGAGTTGCGGGACAAAGATATTATCAAGTTCGGCCATTCAACCAGAGAATATGTCATGCAGATGCCTTCCGGATAAACGTGCAACGTCGGTGAGAACCAGTCGCCACGATACTTCTAAGCCCGCTGAACATGGAGCTGCAAGAGCAAGTAAATCTGGCGATAACTAAACTTTGGGGGATGAAAAAGAATATCATACTGGAGCAATTGAAGGACACATTCGTCTTCTACGGGATACTATAGAAGGATTCCGGTACATCGGCAATTCCTGCTGCTCCTTATCCACCTGATTCTTGAGGATGACAGCACAAGAGAGAATTCGCTCCCTAAGGTGAAGGAAGGACCACGCCGCCTTCTAAGTATTCACGACGAAAGAACGTCCAGCGCATCTGTGATCTCTTGCATCTCTGTCTGAGCCTTGAGATACTCGTCCTCCGGCTTTGCTCGTTCTTCTTCTTCTGCCTCGATCTCTGCAAGACTTTCCTCGCATGGCGCGAGAAGGGCTTCGAAATCGGCAACATTCTGAGTAGCCTGGGCCTCAAACTCTTCAAATTCTTGATCTCGAGACTCGAAAAAGGAGAGCAGCTTCTTGACCCGTTCAATCTTTCTTTTCGCATCACGAAGGTTGTCATCAACAAACCCAGAGTTCAAGATACTTAACGCATTTCGCCGGAGACCGTCGATGCACGCGTTACTGGTCCTGTTTGCCGAGGATCCAGTACTGCCACCCGCCCATACTTAGCTCAGGCCGGGGTCTCAGGGATAGGCGAGAGTAGCACGGAGGCAACGATCTCGTCTAGTCCAATATCTTCGACCTTCGTGGCCTTGAAGACTCTGTACGTGGAATGTTGAACATTGAAGAGGTTGCCGAAATGATACCTCACAGTGGCTGTGAAGAGCCTGTATATTGGACTCTCGGATCCACGGTGGCCCTAATGGCCGGTAGGGCGCAGCTGCGTGTTCGCCGGTAGACCAACATAAGCACAACACCTCATAAGAGGAACATCCAGCAGGTGTCCTTCATTTCTGCCCTTGATGCTTCCATGGTGCCTTAATATTGCCGTTTCGATGGTGTCTAGCCAGTATACGTGCCTTCTAAGGTCTTTATGGAGGTGGTCACCACCATACCTTCTCTCGCCTCGGTGGTGTCTGATCTTGAGCGCCACGTGTTGAGTTTGCTAGTCCAAATTCATAGCCAGCTTACATGACCCCAGCTGATCCGTAGACACGTAGAGTCGCATGCTGTCAAGGACCTTCCTGAGTTGGTTCAAGGACAAACCGCGACCGACATAAGGCGCAATTTGTGATGGCATCTGAGACGAGTCTGCCGGAGAGTCGATAGCCACAAACACGGCATAGCCACCCTGCGTATATCTGCATCGGAGGTGCGAGCCTTTCGCAGCCTGAAATTCCGGGTCTCGCAGCTTGTGTGGGATATCCCCTCGGATGAAAGCTGTGGTAGCGCTCGGAGAAAGTGATGCAAGGTAAAACAACATCCTGGAGAACGAGCCGGTCTCGTAACCACGAGTGATCTTCTTCAAGCTCTGGTGGCCGCCGTCGATCTCGTCATCGTCGCCATCATCATCGGCGTCGCTGGTCGAACGCCTCTTGCGCTTGTTACCCACATTGGCATTGCTTTCTTCTTTCAGCCAGATTGTGTAGATGCAATGTGCGAGACCAACGAACCCAAACAGTTCAAAGTGGCCCAAAATATACTTCTGTCGATCGGTGAAGAGAGTATCATCTTTGATCCCATCTCGCTCCTAAGTATCAGAGGAGGTGGAAATGCTCACTGCACTTCGTCCGCGACCCGCCGGCTTACATTGGGAGAGATGAAAACTGCTTGCACATTTATCCATCCTGTCTCTGGCTTGGGAGACTCACTGGCCTCGAAGGCTTTGTCTCCTGAGCTTAAGTTGTACCCTCCCTGTTGCAATTATCGATACAGTGTCATTCAAACCCTTCCACCCCAAGGCAATTTCTTCCCTTAGAATGTATACTTTACCGACACCTTAGAACACCAATGGTTAAGCCTAAGGATCCCTTGTGACTCGAGCATAACTCCATGATCGACGCTGGCAGATCCTTACACTCCGAGTACTCACTGAATCCATCCAATCGCATCTGACGAGGCTGTATCCCTGCCAAGCCCGAACCTAAAAACGAAGTGCAAAGCCCGACCAATGCAACTTACAAGCACAGTGCTCGTCCCCAGCTTCGCCACGGCAGCTTCATTCGGAGCACCCGAGAAGAAAAAAGTGCGTCGGCTTCACTCGCCGACTAGCTATCGAGCTGTAAGAAGTCCTCCGATGTCTCATCTTGGCGACCATCAATTCACTACAAGCTTGCTCTAGTCAGACCCACGGGCTCGCGGTCTTCTCCAGGAAGGACATGGCCACTCCTAGTGGCGTAATACTCCGCGACTGCTTCTTTCAGGGCCTTTAAACCACAGTCAATATGTCTCTCAGGCTCGCCCACGACGCTGTATCCCATATGCCCGACTCTTACATATTGATGACCAACCTCCTTATGCATACCGCCGACGATCGTGAAGCCCTTCTCAGTAACGCGTGACAAGAGTTCCTTCGACGACAGACCATCAGGAAGCCAGAATGCCGTCAAACCATTGGCTTGGTACTCTGACTCTGTTGTCAACTGCGTCAAGCCCAATGCCTTCACCACAGCTTTCACTTGGGCGCTTTTCCGCCGGTGTTGTTCAAATCGCTCTTCTAGTGGGCGTGACAAAATGGACGTCAGGGAGGCATGAAGAGCATGGACAATTTGAGTAGGGGGGGTTGCAAAATAGCTCGACTGCTTTTTCTCGTAGTTCTGCATGATCGGTAGCCAGCGTGCCAGGCTGGCATACCAGGTGTTTGCTGGTGCCTTCCTTGCCTTGGCAGTCTCCAAAGCGCGAGAAGAGACCATGATAATGCTGAGTCCTGGAGGACAGCCGATAGCTTTCTGGGACCCGGTAACAACGATGTCGATATCCCAGGCGTCAAACTGGATCTCCTCGCACGCAACACTGGCGACTCCATCAACGACCAAGAGTGTTTCGGGCGACACTCGTTTCAGCAGCGCCGATAGCGGCTTCAAAGGTGTCAACACAGCCGTCGAGGTATCGACGTGGGTCACCACCAAGGCTTTGTATCGAAGCCTTTTCAATTCTTTCTCGACTTCATGTATGTCGGGAGCAGCTCCGATAGGGACCGTGATCCTCTTCGTGCGGGCTCCGTAGGTGGCCAGACACATCTCGAACGCATCGGAGAAGTATCCCGTACAGAGACAGAGGACTGGCTCTCCGGGTTCGATGAAGTTGGTTGCCACAAAGTCCCAACCCAGGGTTCCGCTGCCTCCAATGACAAAGGGCTGGGCATTGGGGTCTTGACTCTGGAAGAGTCTGCGGAGCATGGTCAGCACATCGCCGAAAGTGTTGCAGAATGGTTGGGCAAAATGTGATTCTGCAAACGATGACATGGCCCTGAGGACCTCTGGGTCGACTTCAGTCGGGCCTGGGGCGAGGAGAATGGGACTTGTTCGAATCTGCGAGTCCATTTTGTTTGTGTTTAAAGATGCAAGTAGGAATAAAATGTGTGGTTCTAGAGAAAAGGGGAGGTATTCGAGTGGTATATTGTTACACCACCTGCGACGGAGCAATCCTGTACAAGTAAGTATGAGAAGATTAACTGTAAAGATCTGATTAGACCTTTGCGGCTCTCAATCTGGTTACTGCTCTGATTTTCTCCCTGCATGTGGGGTCGACTGGCCTTCTGGCAACCATCCCGTTCGGAGTTCTCAGGGATGTTTGTCTTGGGGGTAAATGTTCTACCGTGCATATCAAGCAACATTCCAATGTGTAGAGCTTACGACAACTCCTTTTTTCTGCAGAGAGGTGCCACGGTCTCGAGCTGGCGTCGGATGAAGTCGGGGAAACCAGGAGAAGCGAGCATGCTTTGGGACAATGTTGTCCTCTCCCGTGACCACAAGTCGTATCACAAGGCGTCGTGATATGTCCGGTCGGGGAATTACTGTGATGAGTCAACCAAATGATGGGCAGTGAGCTTGGAAATAGTATCGAGGCCATCCTGCACCGTCCTGGCCACCGCCGAGGATGGTAGCCCCGGGAGATTGAAGGACGAGGTCGAATTTGATTCAGTCTGCAGCCAACTAGTGGATGCGTATGCACAGTACTCCGTATCTTTTGTGACTAACACCCCGTATCTTGTTTAAAATAAGGCGTTTTCCCCGCAATCTCGCTCCGACGACTATTCTTCATCGGGCAGTTCCAGGTATGGCTGGGCGAAACAGATATCGCCATGCATCCGGGGAATTCTCGCCGCGTTGGAGATGTGGCGATATACAACAGGAGCATGTGGGTTATTTTAACGACGTTGGAGAGTTTGTCGACATCGCGAACTGTACTGACTTGATACATTCCGCCTCTCACTCAGCAGAGTTTGTCTTCACAGTCCGCTGGATACGGATGGAGTGAAACAGGCATTCTTTCCGAAGCATGAACCATATGCAGCGTCGAAGCCTAAGTGATCTGTTCCGGTACCTTGTGCGATACTCAAGTAGGCCCCATCCCACGGCAGCCACCAATGCTGAATGTCGCATCTCCAGCCATTGGGTGGTCTCCACTCTGCCCTAGACGTTGCTCGAATATGTGGTCAATTGAAAGGAACTTCGTGCTAATGATGTCCATGGAAGGCACCCCGGTATGCTACAGCCACAAACAGAACTGTTGAGCACAACAGAGCGTGCACTATTCTGGACAAGTTAAGAACCTGCTTGGCATCTCGACTTTGGTTGCCTAATCCTGTCGGCAGAACATTGAGAGCGCGTCAAAGGTGAGAGCAATGGGAGAATTCGGGAAACAAATTGATGACTGGGCAGGGATCAGGCGCTACTGGGAGAAATAATGGCCTAGACAAGCATTACAGAGCAACCAGGCAGATGTTACTGAGGACAGATAACGGCATTGTCTATCCACTTGAGAAGTCCAATGCGCAGAGATCCGGAGGGACATGGTCAGCACACCATCAACGTGTTTAGTTCTGCCTGGATCACAACCTATTTTGTCCACCAGGCTCCACTTGCCTTTCCCCTTCCTGTCATGTCTGTCCTACAGCGAGGCCTTGAGTGTCGAGCTATTCTTCGGGGAAGTGCTATACATTCCACCCGCAGTCACGTCATGCTTGAGCGGTTGTCCAGCCAGGAAGCGTCGCAGGTTCTCGGCGATGAGCAGTTCCGAGTATCGTGGTCTTCCTCCAGCGGCATGGGGCGAGATGATTAGATTCGGTGCTTTCCATAGCGGGGAAGACTCAGGTAGTGGTTCTTTATGGAAGACATCCAGAGCTGCGCCGCCGATTATTCCCTTTTTAAGGGCGTGAGCCAATGCATCCTCATCCACACAGACACCTCTCCCGACGTTGATCACCCAGGCATGTTGGGGCAGCTTTGCCAGCCGCTCCGCGCTGAGAGAATGCCATGTCGCTCGGGAACCTGGGAGAATCATGATGAGACAATCAGTCTGTGGGAGGAGGCTAGGCAATGCTGCATTGGTCTGCACTTGGATCCCGTCAATGATTTCTTCGTACAGTCCGACTCCTCGGATGTTGGCGCCCAAAGCGGTCAGATGTGGTGCAAGCGTGCGTCCAATATTTCCCATCCCCCAGATGGTAATGTTGGCACCTTTCAAGGAGGTGAACGATCCCTGGGGTCGGTCGGGTAGGAATCCGCCCAAATGTCCTGGCCACTTGCCTTGGTTCTGGAAATCCCGCATCTCGTAAAGACGCCGAGCAGCGCTGAGCACCAGAGCTAGAGCGTGCTCAGCAACAGTCTCGTTGTGCAGATTAGTGCCGGCCGTTATGATAACATTGGATGGGAAACCAGCAGCGAGCTCGTCGTTGGGGCCTGCAAAGAGGGACTGAATCCAGCGAAGTTTACTCATTCGTTTGGCAGCATCGCGCAGGTTGGTATTGGCCCATGTCACAAGAATCTCTGCGTCGACAAGTTCCTCGGGGATTAGCTTGTGAACATCGTAGGGGTGTAATGTGACGCCGAAGCCTTCGAGACTGGCTACGTCGAGCTTCAAAGAGGTAGGGTAAAGAAGCTTCATGGTTAGATAGCTAGAATTGTCAATTTTCAGCAAATGAGAGCGTTGTTTACCAGTGTAAGCTCGGTTTGGAGATGCCCATGTATATACTCAAGGATGAATGCTGTTCAGCTCCTGAACTGCTTTGCTTTCCGCTTGACCGTCGTATGCAGCCTAGTAACTCAACACCCCGGAAGTCAGCGGGGGAAACCGGGAATCCTCATGCAACACCCCTGCAGAGTTCGATGCAGGGGAGCAGTGGACCAGAAATACACAGAGAGACAATGATCGGTGGGTGACGGTTAATCCTTTTGACGCTGGAGACCTTGTACGTTGACTAGCCGTCAGTGTGTCAGGCAGACAAGATTGGAGAGCTAGAGCTCCTTCAGAAAGAAGAACACGATGCGAAGTACGCAACTGGAAACCATCGTGTTATCGAGGATGTTTTGCAAGACCTTGCCGCAGTTTATGAGTCCTCACGCCCAACACAGCATCATATCATGTAGCAGGCGAGGGTAAGGTAGATGAAGATCCGGCCCTATGTACACGATTTGACCTGTGACGCTGTGCTTCCTTCATCTTGTCCGCTAAGAGGATCGTGAGATGGTGGAATGATGCGGGCTGAGAGGAAAGGAGCTTTGTCAAACTTGTCGAAAGGATACATGGGTCTATTGATACGGGAATGTCCAAGTCGTTTCAGATCCTGATCAACACCACCAGGCGAAAGGGCCAATCTCCAGTCGGCCGCCATGTCGTGCAATTCAGGTTCCAAATACCCGATCTTGACAATGACGACATCTGCTTCTCGAGGCTTGAGGTTGAGATCCGTAAAGTCATGCTCGTGATGGTAAGGCTTGCGGAGTTCGGTGAGGATAGCGAAGACGCTGCCCACTCGTAGCACAACCTCGATACGAGCATCTCTGTCGCCGCGTTTGATGGCATGTACTTGGCCTGTCATGGTGATCGGGCCCGAATGGATATGGTCGACCTCAGCGCCGGCGGTCACTGTGACAGTTGACCCTATGCCTGCATCGACACACGCATTGACTGCTTTGGAGCCCGGGACACTGGCATAGATGACTGTTGGGCCAGAATATTGTTTAAACTCTGGACGAGCCAGCAGGTGCATCAAGCCCCAGGTCATGTCGCCGCTTCCACCGGCAGTTGGGTTGTCTCCCGAATCGCTGACGAAGAAAGGATGCTTCTTGGATGCTACAGCCTCGTCGATGCATTCGTCAAAGGAACCTGTTGGCCCGACAAAGTCAAAGTCCTCGTGCGCATCCCAAAACACCCGTGCAAGTTGTTCTGATCCAAGCTTGATCGCGTCTTCATCCCAGCCCGTCACCACGACAACTGCTTGGTTTCGCGGTTCGTCAGCCCATGGATAGCCGACCCAGACTGCTGCATCAACAACCCCCGTGTTGGACTCGACGGCAGGAACTGTACCATAGATGTGCTTTGCGGGCTCGATACGAGTGGAAGTCTGCTCTCCTGGAAGAAGGACTGGAATTGGGATCCATGCTTTGAGTGGTCGCACAGGACTGCCATCTGCCCTTCTGCCTGCGGGAGCGTTTGTGAGTAGCTCGACCAGGTTGCGGCACGCTCTTTCCTTGGTCTCACGCACGTCGATGTGTGGTGCTGTGCGGTAACAGCTGATGAGATCTGCCTCGTGCACGAGTTCGCGGCTCACATTGCCATGCAAGTCCATCGACGCTGACACAACCACCGTAGGACCAAGAAGTCGTCGGATGCGCCGAAGGAGCTCTGCTTCAGAGTCATCAAGGCCCTCGACGCACATGGCGCCGTGGATATCGTACCAGAGTCCATGGATGATTGTCGACGACACAATCACCTTCAGACGCTCTATAATCTCGTCGGCCAATTCCTCAAAAGAGGCGCGCGTTACAATCCCTCCTGGTAGCGCATGACCGATCAAAGCTCCGTGGAAGTCCGCGATATTTCCAAGGCCGCTTTCACTCTGGAGAAAGGGATATTTCTCAATGATTTCGGGGCCGCGTTTGGCATGGAAAGCAGGCGTCAAAGTCCTGGAGGGCGTGAATATCGAAGTTTCGCACGCAAGGCCGGCGATAGCAATGGCTGGCCTCTTAGCCATCGTGGCAGTTTGGTGCAGTTCTGCCTATCTCAACCAGCACGGGCGAGGGGTTATCCTCCTTCCTTTTAAAGGTGTCATCTTTGGCTCGTAAGGATTTAGGCTAAGCTCACGCCAGTAGAAGCTTGGAGTCTGGGCCGAGCCGAATATGGTTTATCACCTGGAGATCTCTTAGTGACGAACTTCACGCCCAACCCTTGATGCCGGTCATCTGTCTATACACATACAAAAAATATCTCAGTCCTTCGCTTCTGTCGCTGTTCTCCGCTCGTCAAAGCTCATGGTAGGCGATATGAAGATCGTTATCAGTTTGGGTTTCATCCAGAGAGGTACGAGATGCGACCTTATGGAGGGGCCGGCTGTTCGCCTCTCGGTACTTTATCAGCTGAAGCGTTTCCGCAACATGTTGTGTGTAGTGACACTCCCTTTGACTCTTCTCTGTATCGGATCACAGTTGGCCCTTGCCGTTGAACACAGAGAAGTCACGACAAGATGTTGCAAAAGACTGCCACTGGTACCTGGCTCCCGGCATGGGTACCGGAGTCGACGGTGACCCTCTCCATATTCTTGGTATTCTGCTCCATGGTACAGTCGGCGGTAGGTAGTGTCTGCCTCTATATTCCTCGATCGCTCTAATGAGGACCAGACTGGTGGATATGACGGATCCATGCTCAATGGCCTCAACATCTTACCATCATACACGGATTACTTCAATCTCAATGCTGCAACCACTGGCCTCAACACTGCTTCAGTGTTCATTGGCGGTTTCTTTGGCCCCATTGTCTCTGGAATCATTGCCGATCGTCTAGGTAGACGTCCAGCAGTACTCTGGGGTTCCATTTTGACCCTAGTTGGAGTCCTTCTTCAGACCGCTGCTCAGAACATTGCAATGTTCGTTGTTGCTCGCATTGTTCTAGGTTTTGGCTCAGCCGTTTCTGGTATCGCAGGCAGCGTCTACTTGGCAGAGACGTACCCGAGCAAATATCGTGCATGGGGAGTTGGGCTGCTGAATGACTTCTACTAGTAAGACTGCCCTTTCACGGAGGAATGATTTTCACTGACTGCTTTGCATTGTCGGCGCCTTGATTGCGGCCGGAATCACACTGGGCACGGGTCAGTGGCAGTCAACATGGGCTTGGAGGGCACCTTCATTGTTCCAGGGGATCTTCTCGCTTTTGTGCATTATCATATTGCCATTCATGTAGGCACCGAAGTCTCCGTCCTTGGACATACGACCTGGAAGCTGACCTGGTAGCCCTGAATCTCCACGATGGCTGATACACCAAGGCTTCTATGATGAGGGACGCATCGCTGTCGCCCAGACAAATGCCAACGGAGACCTGAGTGACCCTGTTGTGCTCGCAGTATACAAGGAGATTGTCGACACCCTGAATTGGGAAAAGGAGAACCTCATGACCTTCAAAGAAACCATCAAGAACCCAACTTCGAGAAAACGCCTACTGATAGGTATGTCACCGGGACCTTTCTCCTGTATTGCTGGCAATATCATCGCCTCGTACTACCTGGGTCCCGAGCTGGATACCGCAGGTATCACGAACTCGAACGACCAACTCAAGGCGGTGAGTCCATCTGTACGAGCAGTGCAGGCCGCAACTGACTCCCGCAGAACGTCGTGCTCAACGTCTGGTGCCTGGCATGTGCTCTTGGAGGAACACAACTCGCCGCGCGCTGGGGTCGCAAACCTACTGCGATACTTTCTCAGTGTCTGCTCATTGTGTGCCTGTTCATCATTGGGGGCCTCTCGAAAATGTACGCTGACAACCCCGACGGAGCGTCCAAAAGTCTCGTCTATGGAGATGTGGCAGTCATGTTCTTGTTCCAAGGATTCTACTCGATTGCATGGACACCTTTGCTCTACCTGTACCCGCCAGAGATCATGAACTACGCGATTCGGGCAAATGGACTTGCCTTTTCGTCCTTTATGCTGAATGCTCTAGCGTAAGCTCACTATCTGCGCAGTCCACTCGCTGCCCAATTGCTAACCTCGCCAGGGTCCTCCTTGTGTTCGTCATGCCCATCGGCTTGACCAACATTGGGTGGAAAATGTACATAATCAATGGCTCGTGGGATATTATAGTTGTGGTCTTGATCGTGAGTCGAACACCCCTCTGTTTTTTCCTGGGTTCTTGAACTGACCTTCCAGGTGGTCTTTTGGGTCGAGACGAAAGGCCGAACGTTGGAGGAGATCGATGCTCTCTTTGAGGGACACAAGCACTCCGATGTGCCGGATGTCGAGCTGGTTCGTACAGGCAAAGCATATGTCGACGTCGACAAGATCCAACGCGAGATCGGAACTGTGGTGGAAACTACAAAATTAGATTGAAGTCATAAGTGAAAGGCAATAGATTCAGATCTTCAATACGATAGGGGCTGGGCTTTGAAGAGAAGAAGGGAGCCTTCTTCCTTTCCTCTAGGCCAGGAAAACTGTCGAATTTGATCCCTTCTCTAGTATAGAAGTTGACAATGCCAGCTCTCCGCTAGATCTGGATCTCCATCGCCATTATACTTTGCCTGCATCGGATACATACAAATTGGTCGCTGCCTTTGTACACCCTCCGTGACCGTCTCATTGATGAACTTGGTGCCAATGATGAATTCCGGAGCAATCCCATTTTCCCTCCACTCCAAGAGCGCTAGAAGAGCATCGTGCTGTGGATCGCTGAAAGCAGGAACACTCCAGACATCTTGGCCCAGCTCAAAGGGTTGACCGGCAGAGGCAATGTAGTAGGGTGCCTCAACTGCTGTGCCTTGACAGTGTTGCATGCCGGGAATCAGGAACATGCGATACCAGCCATCAAGAGGGATCCCTGCGGCTCCCATGGTCCTCCAAATGTTCTTGTAGAGAACCTCGGAGCTCGGCGTAGGGATCAGCCCGTCTGCCAGGCCATGATACTGGATGATCTTGCCGCCACGCTGGTAGAATCCGCTGAAGTCGAATCCGACGTTTGCCTGACCGGGGTTTATTCTGTCTGCGTCCAGGATCACCTTGTAGGTGAAATCGTGCCAGTCCCATGTTGTGTCGTTGTAGAGGAAGTTTTGGATCCACGCAATTCCGGGTTCAGTAGGGGTTCCAGAGTCCGCTGCAACGAGTCCTCAGGATCAGCAACATCTCCAAACTAGAAGATTATACTCTGAAACAGATGCAGACGGACAAATTAGGGAGTAATTTAGAATGGCCTTGAGATAAACTTTATTCTCGCCCCATTCCCAATCTGCACATTGCAGAGGAAAGGCTCAAAAAGTGACTTACTATTGAGAAGGAAACCGTACTGAGCCTCGGATCCCAATTCGTAGTGCGGAAAGACAAATGTCTGATTTGTCTCCCACCAGTCGTTGTAGATGTGGTATAAGGTGTCCAACTGTGGACCTGTCAGACAGGCGCTTTTGTTCGACGTAGGAGTGCAAAGTAGCATTTCTGGGACAAAGTTGCATCCCTCAGGGTCAGAGATGATTCCATCAAAAAAGCCGTCCTGGGGATCGCATTGTCGAAGGACTTCAGCTCCGATCACGGGGAAAAGTGAAGACGGGATGTGAGTCGCAGCCTCCACCGGGAGGTTGGAGAGGGCCACTTGAACATTGTCTGGCTGTAGATGCGTCGTCCACCACGCAGGGGCTCCAGCTAGAATTCCATCAAAGTCCTCTGGATACAGTTCGATGTCTCGGAATCCTTGTCGACCACCAGTAGAGCATCCGGAATAGTATGAATAGCTGATGTTTGTCCCATAATACGCACTGGTAATCAGCTTGGAATAGACGACTGAGCCGTGCATGGACCGATAGCCCCAGTCAAGCTGCGCCTCCGGGTTGTTCAGCGCCCAACTCGCATCAAAGGATCCGGAGATGTGCCCAGTATCGGTCGACATAGATGCGAATCCATACCTGGCGTTAGTGCCCATATCGTTCCAATTGATCCCGCCGGCATATGCACCATTGCCGGTGGCAATAAAGCGAGCGTTCCACTGCTGTGGCAGGAAAAGGCCAAAGTTATAGGAGGATGTATGGGAAGATTTGACATTGACTATGACCACACAAAGCGCTGGGAGACCTGTGTCATTCACTGGGAACTCAAGGTCAGCGGGGCCTCCGCCGAAAGTGCTGTTCTGTGGGAGCGCTTGTGCAAACGTCACTGTCGCTGCTCCTGAATCTCCAATGAATTGTTGCAAGGACTGCACGCTGCATTCGGTGATTGCAGCGACGACACGCAAGCCTTGGAGGCCAAAGAGACCAGACAGAATAAGCTTCATCCTTGGATAGTCACCGAGATAGCTGGACTGAGAAAGACAGGTGGACTGGAATGCAAGGATGTCCTTGACATTCGGACGGCCGGGCAAGCTCCATTGAAGTACCCGAGTCGAAGGGGTCCCCAGACCCCTCCCCAGATTATTTCCCCGGACCTTTTCTCTTCACAACCGAAGCATTCTGCCGAGAAAGGCAAGGATGAACCATGTTTCGAGGCTCAAACGCCGGAGTGAAGAGCGAGGTATGCTGGCGGCAGCCTCGCTATTAAAGGTCGTTCGCAACGCTTTAATCATCAGTATCTTGCCATTACGAGTTCATTTAATCAATAAAGCAGAGAAAATGGGGCGAATTAGGCATTGAGGCCTCGATTAGTGCGTGGTGACGGACCTCTCAAAGGACGGCGGCGGTAATATTCCAGGCGAATCCTTGTCGCAGACACCATATCAGAGTGAATATCCTCTATTTTTTCGAGGAGCCCTCACTCTTGAACGTGACCCGTGTTCCCGAGAGATATGACGGTTGCGATGTGGAGACGGGTGTAGGCCGGCAGGGAGATGTCGAGCGGTGAAGCGGGTCGGCCGGCACTTCAGCGATACCATTAGAAGCTGGCCAGACAAACTCTCAAGGACGCGGTGCCTGGCCGTTTTTGGCTCTTTACGGGCTCGGTGCTCGACGATCTATCGCTGTGAGGCTAACAAATGGTATCGATGTGTCTGTGGAAGAGGCGTGTAGGTCGGCAAGCGTAGTGAGAGGTGTCAGACTGACAACTCCTGGCACATGCTTGATATATCACATTTCTCTTAATACTTGGCGCCAAGACCTGGTTCACGATCCCGATTGCCGAGTAGTCAAAAGCAAGCCCAATGCCTCGTACGAGTACATCAGATTTCTATGACGACCGACCTGGATGAATTTCAATACCCTGCCTCCTTCGCCAAGCTCCAAGCCTGTGATGCGGGCACCATGGCGACGAGTAATGATTGCTCGGGCGTGACGGGCGGTATCATTACCTGACGACAATGGCACGACCACAGAACTGAAAAACTGTTTTGCCTTCGTGACTGACAATAGCTGGTGCAATGGTGCCTATTGGATTCACGGCTGGACCAAGGACTTCACTTGCCCCGACTCTTCATATCTGACCTTGGCTCTTACAGGCCAGGGTGGGTCACCTTGGGAGACCAAATCTACACCACGGCCGGCGCTGGGCGGGCGTGAACAACCTCAACACAACATTCAGCCAAACAAGCTGTTGGCTCGATCCAGAATCTCGCCAGGTAAGTCCCACGGCATGGGATATGTCGTTTACAACCGATGTGAGCCAGCTGTGGTCATTCGTCACCGCATTTGGTCGCCTCAACTATTACTGGGTGCGGCACGGCGGCTTGATTATAACCTCGCAGGGGTTATTGCCGATGCTCACACGTCCTCCGCCTTCACAAACAGAACTATCCTGGAAGCGACACAATTTACATTTGTGGAGAGCGTCCGATCGACATACATCTATTACCACGTTGCCCGGTCAGATTAGTGAAGAGTAAATAAGTTAGAATAGTTCTGGAAACCCGAAGCACCGGAGACCCGAGCGCATTAGTTCAAGCAGAGTATTCCCTCCCGTGGATGTCTATATGATCTCGACTCTTGGTCCAGTGACTCGACGCGCCACTCTTAACCCCTCTATTCTGGGCAACTGGTATTGTTGTCGAACAATCCACTCGGACCTCGGGCTACCAAATTTGGACAAGTATCCACGCTCGATTTCTCTTCCCGAGGAGGATTTACTTCATTCAGTGATCGACCAGAGCCTGGCAGGTGGTTTCCATTTCAGACACTCTTCGCAGTCTGTTTGTCTATATTTTTGTCGTCCCTTGGTGCAGAAACATTACCTTGACTCTTCCTCCGTCAGCGGTTTCATTAATGACCATGGAAGAGATTCCAAAGCAGTGCCTCGCCGGCGTGGTTGTCAATGAGGGGCCAGACTTCCACGTCGAGGTCGTCGAGGTGCCTGTCCCAGAGCCCGGCCCCTATGAAGTCCTGATCAAGCTCAACACAACGGGCTTGTGCATGTCCGATGTGCACTATATGCTCAATGACCTGGGCGTGCCATCCATGTCACATTTTAAGACGAGATCTCCCGGCCACGAAGGTGCGGGAGTAATTGTGAAAGTTGGAGCGCAGGTCACATCCCTCAAGGTAGGCCAGCGTGCTGGAATCAAACCAACTTGGGATGTTTGTCATGCATGCGATGTCTGTCTGTCCGGTCGGGAGAATTACTGTAAAGGCATGGTCTCCACGGGACTGCAAAAACCTGGTTTGTTTCCTCGATCCTACACAAGTAGTCTCTTTTAGCTGATGGCGATCTCAAAGGCTCATATCAACAGTACATCGTCTCGCCGGAGCGATATACTGCCCTGATTCCAGACGGTGTAAGCGACTATATCGCGGGACCAGTCATGTGCTCAGCATCCACTATGCTGCATTCTCTAAAGACGGCCAACCTGTCAGCAGGGCAATGGGCTGTGTTCGTTGGTGGCGGAGGCGGGGTTGGGCTTCAAGGCGTTCAGCTGGCATACGCTATGGGCCTCCGTCCTATCGTGGTTGACACTGGGGCGAAACGAGAGGAACTGAGTCGAAAGTACGGCGCTGAGCATTTCGTGGACTTCAGAGAGACCAAGGACGCAGTGGCTGATGTAGTGACGTTGACCGATGGCGGTGCCCACGGTGTCTTTGTGACTGCGATCCAAGCCTATCCCACTGCCATGGGGTTCCTTGGTGATCGAGTAGGAGGAAGGCTGATGTGTATTGGTCTTGGACCCCCAAATACGCATACCATCACCCTTGATCCGACTGTTTCGAATTTTATGGCTAGAAACCAATCAGTCACAAGCACCATCGTCAGCTCATTGGGCGAAATCACACAGGCACTTGACTTTGCTAAACGCAGTGAGTTCAATCCCCATGTGAGCAGTGTTGAGCAGTTGATTGACCAATGATCTACGAGCAGAAAAGCTTCATCTCGACCCAGAAATCGTCGGAGTGTCGCAGTGGAACGAGGCGGTTCAGCGTTTGAAGAACGGACAAGTCGCTGGGTAATGCACCCTCCTTCTCATTCATGGTCGAAGGTCAGCTGACAAAAAATGATTAGGCGTATCGTAGTAGACTTTAACAAGCCATAAAAGTCCAGTCCAGCCCAGCTCAACCTATCAAAGTTCAAGGCTCTAGGTCTCATCCCTCAACGACTGGATGACTCTCTATTCTCGAGCCGACAATAGAGACTGGTGGGAGTAGAAGCAATACACTAGCCAAGAGCCGAGAACCGCTATAAGACTTTGTCAAACTCTTTTCTCTTCCTCTTCTTTGCTGTGGTCCTTTTGAGGCCGTCGGTCGGATTCCAATTCAAGATCGCCCGAATATCGCCCGCCTTGCCCGCCTCGCGCTGGTTAGCAGCAACCAGATGTGACCCTAACTATTTTTTCACGAAGAAACCCATTATTCTCTATGTCCTTACTATGATTGAACCATGATTGGCTGTGCCGTTGAACGATCCCCTGGTGACGGAGATTGTAACCGAGGACATCACGTCGTTCGATACTTCAGGCATACTGACACAGCGACAGCGTGTCAATTCCCCGTCTCCTGCAACCATACAGCTGGATGTCGACGTTGTATTTCCTATAGGTCATTCACACCTGCGTGAACTGGTTCGTATCAGGGGTGTCGTGTCCAGCAAGGCACTGCTCGGCCTCACAAGCTAAACTAGCTATTATTCTCTAGATAAACTCTCGTTGTTCTGGCGCACACTAGGTGTTATTCTACTGGTTCCTAAGACCTTCATCGGTCCCCCCAGGCCCCAGCTGGGGGAGGGGATCATCGAACTGGGGGCAACCCCGCAAACTACCTAGTGACTAGGCAGGTATACGAGGGACAGAAAATATGATCTATGGATCATGCCGTCCCCAGAAAATTCCTCAAAGGCTCGACTTTTCTCTTTGATCCCTTCGAATAGGGTCCCCTGAGATCTCCGCTTTCTTCCAACTTCGAATTGGCCACAAAATTAACCACCAACACCTCGTATGTAAACATCAGACGATACTTGTCTTACTTTTTCATCTCAAGTAGACAATATACCCAATGCCAGAATCCATGACCCAGGCTGATCGATCACCTTTTGCATGCAAGTTCTGCAAAAAGTATGTGCTGCTCTCTCCTCTCTGTCTTTTGTCTGTTCAATCATAGGGTGCGTCGCTGGCGTGGCTGATGTGCGATTGGCTCCCGTCTTCTTGATGAACCCAAAGTATGAGGTACATGGCAACATAGCAAGCTGACATGAACTCTTAGGCGCAAGGTCAAATGGTATGCTGGACGACCACATCTAGATAGATCTAGCTGATGTGAATCGTGTTCGATGCAGTGATCGCATCCTCCCTAGATGCTCGATATGCCTCAAGACGCAACAAGAATGTGACTATCCATCCGAAGCAGCAAGACCTGGTCCCAAGCTCGGTATGATATGAGGCTCCAAGCATCCATCCGTGGTCGCGCTCGTTCGCTGATGGCTTGTATAGGCACAACCAGACGGAAAAGACCTCGATCTAGCTCTCTGGAGAAGCAGTGCGACAAGCCCACCATCACAGAAGTCTCGGACTCTACTGCGCCTGTCGAGAGCGCCGACGGCAGGACAGAGCTGGAAGCGAGCACGGCTCTGGTTTCGAGTGCTAATGCTGCCAATGGAAGCCCGACACCAACGTCTGCCAGTTTCAAGTCGGGGCCTGTCGGTGGCTATCCTCTGACACCTGTTGCTACGCCGCTCGATGTACGCACTTTGGCCTTTATCATGCATCCTTCTCACGAGACAGCCATAACCCTCTCCAACATGGAGTTTGTGTCTTCCAGCAAGTCGAGCACCACGCTAGACAACATAGACCGGCTCGCGCAAGCGTGTGCCTTGCTCAAAGTCCCAGCAAATGCTCTTCAGTCGTAGTAGGTGGTCTTGTCCCTTCCTTCTTCAGTGCTTTGCTTCTGGCGTGATCGAGGCTGACCCTCTGTCCTCCTCAACAGTTTAGACCTCTACTTCGACAATATGACATCCTTTTCGCTTTTCCATCGACCTACCTTTGCGGCCAAGTTGTGCGCCATCGACTCGGTAGAGCAGCTCGCAGCGTTGCTTGCATCGATCTTCTCATTTTCAGCGCGCTATAGATTCACCTCGGATCAGGGCGCCACTGACTTGGACGACGGTCTCGGTCCACTACTTCCGCCCAAACATTTCGAGGACATGGCTCTACGATATGTCGATCAAGCACTGGCCGAGTACTCGGATCGCTCACCGCCGCTGTGTGTCTTACAAGCTCTCGTCCTCAACACATTCAGCCAGCTAATCAAAGGGGTCCGGGGTGCAGCTTGGCGGCGGCTGGGGATCTGCGTCCGTGTCGCATACGAGCTTGACCTCCATCACGTTGACCGAGATAACACGCCCGAACAGCAAGACCCAGATATCTGGTGCCGGATAGAGGAGTGCAGGCGCGCCTGGTGGGCAATCTGGGAGATGGACAACTTTGCCAGCCTCATAAGGCGCTGTCCAACCGCTGTCGACGGTACTGATAACGAGACACGCTTCCCAGTGGCGGACGAAGAGTGGTTCGCTCTGCGCTTCACCCCCAGTTGCTTTCTTGAGACGAAGCCAATGGAGCGGTTAAAGGCTCTTCAACAATGCAGTACCCAGAGCTCCAAGGCATGGTTTCTCGTACTGGATTCTCTCATGCGCGAGGGCCATCGACTCTCGAAATTCAGAAGCCCGTGCCCTGGTAGGGGGACATCGCCTCCTTCAGCCTGGTCTCCGTCCGACGAACCATCAAAGGACAATACGGAGAGTTTACAGATCCTTGCCAATGCTCTGCGGTGCTTCAGCATGGCTCTTCCAAAGCATCTGCGCTACCGGGATGGGTTTTTGTCCTTCACTGCCAATGACCCAGCAATACGACAGCTGCACAGTGCGAAGTACAGCATCCATGTAACCACTCAGCTCACGCGTATGATGATCCATCATCAAGACGCGTACCATGGTGCCCAGCAAGATCTACATCTAACCGGTCTTCAGGAGGGCCCGAACCAAGATTCAGATGCCACATCAGAGAACGAGTCGCTGAGCCTGCGTCTCGGACCAGCCAGAGAGGGGATGCAGCAGTTCATCGAGGCTGCGGATGAGCTGCTCCGCATTGTGTCATGGAGCTCAGAGGAGCATGTCCGCTATGTCAACCCGTTCCTAGCCAGCACCATCTGGTACGGGGCAGTGGTTCATTTGGGCTGGAAAGTGCTGGCACCACCAAGCACGAACCTCGACTGGGTCGAATCCAAGTTTACCGTGCTACATATGATCCTGATGGAGTTCTCCGAGTTCTGGGACTTGCCCAAAACGCTCCAGGAGAATCTGGCGTCAGTTGAAGGCAAATTGCGCTTGTTCAAAACCCCCAAAGCTCGCCGGCCGTCTCACCCGAATCATACCACCTGCGCGAATAGAGATAGGAACACAAGTTCATCTACCAACAATGTGCAGTCCACGATTTCGAGAGATCGTCATGTCGGTGGCCACTTCCCAGCTGCACAATCATCTATGGCTCATAACTCCGCCATTGACGCCGATTGCCTCCCAAATTGTAACCGGGACGACAGTCACTCTGTGGGTGCCCAGCAATTCCTGCCGGCTAGATTGGACATGAATCCTGACGGCAGAGCCACGGCTTCTAACGGCAGTGGTCGGGAAAGTCGCTATGCTTCTATCGACGAGGTCGCCGTCGCATCAGCGATGGGTGGTATGGGAACCAAGGACTGTGACGACCACAATGACCATTACACGTTTGACGAGTCCTGCCTATCGAGCACTGACATGTTGAATGGGGACGGCAACTATGGTGAGCAAGCCACAAACAACTATCAGACTCGCGGACTATGGGACGACTTGACGTGGGATCTGGACTTCGCAATGGATCCTAGGAGTTTGTTTCGAGGTATCATGGATTATAATAACTGAAGGGGACTGGAACACGGCTCTCAGGGATAAATTCTTGCCTGTTTTACGGCTAGTGAGAATCGGAGTCAGGGCGCATCCGATTCTACAGTAGCATTGCTTCTTGTAGAAATCAAGATATGTAACATTACTTTCCGGCGTCGCTCCAAACACGCCAGCTGTTCCGAAGGATATCAGATTTCTCTGCCTCATGATCTATCCATGGTTTCAACAATCCAAGCACCCTTCCATCGTCGACCGAGTAGAAGTAAGCAGCCAATACCGCTGCCACAATGGCCACAATGATGCCGTAGAGCATGAGGTTGCTGGAAGGGTTATCCTTCACCTTGCTTTTGAGTCGAGCCTTCGCAACGGCATCGGCGGACTGAACCGACATGCAACATTAGCCTTGCTCTGTGGATGGAACAATAGAGCTGGGGTTGTAGTGGAAGATGAAAACCATAAGTTAAATGTTTGTTCGGAACATACCACTTGGTCCAACGACCCTATCAAGAGTTCTCTGAGCTGGTCATGGGCTTCCTTTGAATGGCCAACCTCGTCAAATGCTTCGGTACCATCCTTGCCCGCGCAATCCATAATCACTTCCTCCCCTCCTCTTTAATATGAAACAATTAGCACGACGTTCTACCTCCCGCCACCCCCGGGAGATGCCATCCCATACAGCAGGACTTACGGATGTTCTTCGACAAAGCGTGTAACATCATAGACCTGGTTTCCATAGATCATGTACAGGTCGCCTTTCCTCGCATGTTGAGAGACCTGCGCGAGGCTGAATTGCTTCATGGCCCTGAGAGCAAGCTTCCGAAAGGTGTTTTGCCGTTGCAGTCCTCACAAATAGATCAAAACACCGCAAATAAGAGTCCGCAAATAAGGGTCATTACCATACCACAGAGAAGGGCGGATTGTTGTAATGTAACCAGCAGTGACCACTCTGAGATGGGCGCTTTGTGGTTGAGCCCAAAGTCATCTTCATTGCTGGTTCCGTGACTCGCTGATGTGTATCAGCACATTCGGGTCACATTTCTGTGTCTATCAGCCACTCGGGGCATTGTCGTGACCCGCCGTCAACCACACTCATCAAGGCCGTCGACCGAACTCAATCCTTGATGCGCCGGACGTACAGTCCACAAGGCGGCAAGGGGGAAGAAGAACTTTGTCGACTTCAGCCTCGGTACTGCCATGACGCAGATCGGGTGGGTTAGACAAGAAAGTCCGTCGCCATTCCCGGAAATGTGATCAACTTCGCCCGTTTGAGGGGGCGGGCTATCATCGGTCGGATTATGGTTGGTCGAGGCTTTAACCCATTATTGTGGAGACAAAGCTAGGACGCGGGAAGGCACTGCAAGGACTCACCTCGAGTATCCGAGTGCTTCGAATTATAGGCGTCGGACTGCGGCCCATTGCCCAGCCAGATTTTTCCAAACGAGTGCGGCCATTACCAAGGAACTTTCGAGTATCCAATGCCTGTACATTTTTTTTTTTAAAGGATTCTTGCGTCACGACAGCGTTGCTGGCGGTTTAACAAGAGAAGGGTCTAGGAATACGATGTGATGTACGACTCGGCAGGGCTGTGGATACTCGACCCCGCAGACTCCGTTAGATCAGGAACAATTACGGGGTATAAGGGACTTGTAGAGAGTCATACGGGCACGAGGAGTTCATAGTCAATCATTGACCCGGTGCCACCGTGGGGTATTTCCTTGAAATGTTCTCCATGCGTCCATTTGAGTGTCGGCCAGACTTGTCCAACCAAGCATCCCTTTACCTTTGCCGGCATACCTCGCAATAGCTTACCCGTCAGCGTACTTCAGCTGGGTTTATTTGTTCGAACCTCCGTGCTACGGTAAACACTAAAGACAGCATACGAAGAAAAATATCAGGACACCCATCAGCAACATGAGCGCCGCACTGAGTTACAAACTTAACGGAACTGGACGTCTTCATCAGCGAGTTGCCATCGTGACGGGCTCATCGTCTGGACTGGGTCGTGGAATTGCGTTGGCTCTGGCTCGTGAAGGCGCCCATGTGATATGCGCCGACCGTGTTGCCGAAGCACGTCAGGATGGCTTCGAGGAAGACAAGCACATCCCCACGCACGAAGTCATCAACAACAACGGCGGCAAGGCTTGCTTCCAGAAGTGTGACTTGATGAAAGTAGCCGAAATTGTGGCTCTGATCGAGTTTGCGGTCAAGGTAAGCAATCAAACAAGCAAAATCCCATGTCGTGGTGCTGGCTAGTCTAACACGGCATATGCCAGACATTCAACAAACTAGACATTCTCGTCAACAACGCTGGCCTGTGGATGCCGTTGCGTGACTTTGTAGAAGAGACCGAGGAGCAGTGGGACGCCATGTTCGCCATCAATGCCAAAGGCACAGCCACCGCGATGCGCGAGGCCATCAAGCAATTCCTCAAACAGCCCGTTGATCAAGTCTCTGGGTCGCGGGGGCGGATTGTCAACATCTCCTCGAGCGCTGGCGGCCGCACAGCTATCCGTCGGGAGGCTACGTATGCTGCGAGTAAGGCAGCGGTGGCCATGCTGACCCAGAACGTTGCTCTCGACCACGCCAAAGACTACATCAACGTCAACGGCGTGTGTCCCGGTGTGGTTCGGAGTGGTGCAGCCAGTATCAACTTCCGAACACCGGCCATCATCACCGAGATGCAGAAGGGCACCCCTTGGCCCAGACTGGGAGAGCCACTGGATATCGCAAAGGCAGTGGTGTTCTTGTGTAGTGATGACGCCCAATGGATCACAGGCCAAAATTTGGCCGTGGACGGTGGATTCACGATCGGCATACCGTTGTAATTGATGTATTATTCGCTAGATACCGCTGAATAAAATTTGATGTTGTGTATGGCGGAACTAATGACCAAGCCTCCCACTCGATAGACGCTTCCAACATCAACCTGACCGCAGAGTCTCTCCATAGGGCTCTTTGACGGGTTCTGTCATGACGACGGAAGAGTATGTACAGGTGACATGTAGTTTGCCCGCTAAGACAATCGTCCGGACCGATGAAAATGCCCGACGGTCCATTGCTGAGCGAGAATGGCGAATCCACAGACATCCACGGAGCTGACCTGGGTATTATTCCATCTCCATTCCAATATTGCCAGCAACCCGAATTTCCAGACCTTACAATGCTTGCATCACATTAAATCGCTGTAGGCTCATTGACACGCAAGGCAACCATGTCATTGACCGGACTCGGACTAAAAGGGTGAGTAACAAACAGCCTCCCGCCCCAGGCAATGTGGTACTTGTGGTCTGACTATTGCAAAGGGTCGCTCTCATCACTGGAGCAGGTGGTGCTCTTGGACGAGCGGTTGCTCTCCAATTTGCTCGTGATGGGGTCAGGCAGATCGCTGGCCTGGATCTCTCAAAGAAAGCATTGAGTGAGACCGCTGCAGCGTTGACCGCTGAAGTCCCCGACGTGGATTTCCTGCAACTTGCAGTAGATATATCGGATGAGGAGCAGGTGGCTCGTGCCTTCAAGTCGACTATCGATCGATTTGGTAGGATCGACTACGCTATCAACAACGCGGCCATTGCCGCGCCTTTCGTGCCAACTGGGGAAGCAACACTTGAAGCCTTCGAAAAGGTCCAGAGAATCAACCTGAGAGGCACCTGGCTCTGTGAGAGGGAAGAATTGAGACATATGGAGAAGCAAGAGCTGTTGGAGGCTCAGTAAGCGTGCCAGAATCCGCCCACCATGATCCAACATTTGCGATGGTAATCCTGACTCGTCTCCAGTAACGGCCGAGCCCCTGGTAGGGGCTCGATTGTGGTGATTTCGTCCCTTCTCGGCATCCGAGCCATTCCCTTGGATGGACTGTACACTATCTCCAAGCATGGTTGGTCCTTACTTTGAGTCCATTGTGTGTACCATGTGCTGACCAGGAGTCTCCAGGGCTGATCGGCATGGTACGGACGGATGCGCTTGACTATGCAAAGCAAGGAATTCGAGTTAACGCTGTTTGCCCTGGGTAAGTATCTGACAGTTGGCGCGGAGATCGACTCACTGACCCGTTTGTCTCATCCAGATTCATCGATACTCCGTTGGTGACACCTACAATCCGGGAGTTGCTTGCTCCACAAATTGAAAAGACCCCCATGGGTAGATTGGCAAGTCCGCAAGAGGTAGCCGACGCGGTAGTCTACCTGTCAAGCGACAGAGCAAGCTATGTAACCGGGTCGGTGCTCTCGGTGAGTAGCTTTCATTCTTCGTCCCAGCGACCAGACCGAAGCTAATACCGAGACAGGTTGATGGAGGATACAGTGCACAGTAGAAGTCGGAAGTTTTACCACCATCTGACCTTCGGCCACCCGTTAAACTGGTCTGTTAGACTTTTGGCTTGGATATGATTTGACAGCGAATCTACAAACAGCCATGATTTCTTGGCATTGTCCCTGCAACTCTCCTGCCAATTAGTATAGTATCGTTTTCGGAAAGTCCAAGTGATACTTCTCGGTGGAGATGGATCACAATCAAATCGTGAGGCTGCGTGCTATCTACACAATACATGTCGGTCAAATGACGACATGTCAGCCCCAAGCTGCGAGCTCCAAATAACAATATTGCCCTCTGTGGTTCAGGACCATGCATCCTCTTGGTACTGATTCGCAGCTCTCATCTGCTTGACAACAGCAGCCGCCTCCGCAGGTGGGACGGCCCTTCGCTCGGAAATGATTTGTTCTAGCAGGCTACTCACGTCCTTTGCCATTGCCGCGTCGCCACAGACATAAAAGTGGGCATCTTTACTGAGGAGGGAACTGATCTCTGCGCCAAACTGACGTATTTTGTCTTGGACATATACCTTCTTGCTAGGAGTCTGGCGCGAGAATGCCGTGATCATTCTGAAGTTGGATCCGAGGATTCGTCCATATTCCTGGATCGTCCGTCAGCACAAAAGCCTGGAAGTGTGGTGCTAGGAAACTTGTCACTTACCGCCCATTCCTCCTCGTAGATGAAGTCTTCTTTTTGCTTGCGACAACCGA